AAGGCCTCTCTTTTTGGTATTGGGTAACTTTATAAGGAACGTAGGACTACAAAAAGGGAATAAGGGTACTACTGGGCATCCTAGATACTACTCAACACAAACCTGCACGACCGGGTTTACACTCGCCATAAACACATATTATGGGAGTTTCCGAAAAATGGGGGACCCTAATACAGTACCCTAAATAGTAGGATCCTTATTATAGGGACCCCAAACTAAGGTACCCCTAATTTTCGGAAACCCTCATATTCATTTCACTTGCAACCGTAGCACCCCCTTGAAGAACCCCGCTCTCGAAGTACGGCTGGTCGGATCGAGTGTTCAGGGTTTCAAAAACAGCCGGCGGCCAGGGTTGCTTATAATGCTTTTATGGGCTTAGGGATTCTTAAAGGAATTCTCGGGCTGAGGAGTTCACGGTTTTAGGGCTTCTGCTGAGCTTTCCAAGTTTCTTACCGTTTTCGGGGCATGGGATCGATGTACAGCCGCTTTAAAAAAGTCTTGTCGCAACAAGGATCCTACTAGTTCTGTATTAGGGCCGCTTAGCCTGTTCAACTCCCATTTGGGCCGAGCTGGAATTGCCGCAAGCCGGGTGATCCTTTGCTTGCATATGCGGGCCATGTTTTACTAGGATACCCAGTAACCTAAGAATAAAAGGCCTCTCTTTTTGGTATTGGGTAACTTTATAAGGAACCTAGGACTACAAAAGGGAATCAGGGTACTGCTGGGCATCCTAGTTTATGTAACCTAGCTGCGAATCCCGAAGGCTTGCCCCAAACATCACACAACCAAACCTTAAACCCTCAACCCTCTGCGCGAAACCCAACCAGCACGGAGTCTTCAACAACCCAGTACGACACTCCCAAAACTCGTTCCTAGTGCAGCTTTTCACACAGGAACAACTGACTAAAAATCTCAGAGACTCCAATATCCCACAGTTAAGGAGTATACCCTAACTCATGCTCCGGATCCTACGAAAACTTAAGGTACATTCTTTAATAAAGGGATATTGGAGTCTCTGGGAAGTCGGCTATCAGCATGGTCACTACAGAAACCGGAAAAGCCGGTGCCGTTCGCCTTCTAGCCAATCTCACTGAGAATCTCGGCACAGAACAAGGGTATGGAGGCCCTACTGGGCGCCCGAGATTTTGTGTGTTTGCCTACTGGCCTACTTTCGTGGCCTTCTTGGTCATTACCCGTAGGCCCCAAAGTGATTCCTTTTTGTGATTCATATATAGAACCCTATAAGGTAATCCCGAATCACAAACAGGAACTACTATGGGTACATTAGTGTTTACCTCGGAAAAATTACAGTAAAGAACCAGACTTCAACACTTGCTTCAGCCAGGTCACAAATGTTCTGAGCCTCCAGGATAGGCTCGGTAAGATGCACGATCTCTCCCACAGCTTGAAACTGCCCCGTCTTCGAGTCCTGCGCCCAAAGCCCACTAGCCCTTAATTGAGGAAGCGTAGATGCGTTCGTTAATATAAGATTAGTGGGCTCTCTGGGTGACGGAGATGAATGACCTCCTTCAAGGATTCAGGGAAATAGTGCGTAGGCTTCAGGACTGTTTTGAGGCCGTGTCTCTGCAAACCACGTTGTGTTCTCCAAGCTCGTGCCGCGCCCGTGCCAATCCGGAGTGGCGGCCAGCGGTCCCCGAACAGCCGTTTAGGGTTTAGGGTTTAGGGTTGTTCGGGAATCGGGGATAATTCTTTCCAGCATCTGAAAGTGCGACTACACGTGGACAATGAGCGAACATTGTTCCTAATAGTCAAACTCCGCCTGCTCTCGTTGCTGCAAGAGTTTCTCCAAGTGCGAAGGCAGCACGTCGATCTCGACCACGGCACTATTGCGCAGGAGATCATCGTACGCTTCGTGGTTGGCACGCATCTTGCAAGCTGGAGTAGCTTCTCTAGGGTCTTTGCTGACAAGGACCGTATTGATCCTGGACGGTGTATCCTACGGTCCCTTCTTCTTTTATCCTCCGTTCAGGGCACAACAAGTACATAAGGTTTATTTAAAGGCTTTGCATTCGTTGTTCTTTCGGAAAACAACGCAGGAGCATAACTTAACATTGCACCTTTGCCCTGTGTGAAACTCTGCGAACACCCATGCAAATATGTTTCAAACAGTTGATTTGCCGGTTCCTACGCTAGGTCAGATTTCGAAAGAAGCCCACAAAAACTGCTAACCGGTCAATTCTAATCTCGCCCACAAAGTTCGGACACACATTGGCACCGCGGTTTAATTCGAAAAGCCCAAAATCCTATATACCCTAAACTAAACCCCAAGAATACAGGATAATAGGACTTGTTGCCCCTAAACCTACCTGGGCCCTAAAATCCTACCTGTTTAGGACGCTTACAAGGAAATCAAATAAAAGGAACCTAAAACAAGTAGGGTTTGTTCGGTTGCAAGGAAAAGCGAGCCGCAACAAATCCCGAAGATGTCTCTCCCTTATAGGGTTCAAGCACACCTTTATCGTATACTCTCCCATATACTAACCTACGCAGCCACTGTCCTAAACCCAAGTAAGTACTTGTTCGCTGGACCCTTGAAGCCCCAGACAACCCTGCGTACACTCTTATAAAACGTTGTAGAACCCTCTAGAATCAGAGCTCCTAATGATTAGATTCTTTGGACCCTGACGCCTAGTCATAATCAATCAACCCCTAATCCAGTCCAGGTAGAGGTCGTACAGCGGCGGAAAGCTGCGAGCGTGAGCCTTCTTTGCACACATGAGGGGAGACAGTGCTTAAGGCTTACAGTAACTAGTGTGTAGGGCATTAGGATTTAAGGCGCTGCATCCGGGCTTGAGGATTTAGGCTCAAGGACGACGTCTGGAGCCTTAAAAAAATGTCTTCATACCACAGGGAATGCCAGCCTTTTGGATTTCTGTACTGTTCAGGGATTAAGGTTTTTGGTTTATAGGGTTTGTCGATTTCGCCACGGCCTTTTCAACAGCCTTCATTACAAGGCTCGTAGTAAATGCAATTGAGCGAACTGGCGGACAATTAAGCGAGCATGCTTGTAACAAAAATGTTTATGGACTCGGCAACGTAGATTCAGTATGTATGTTACATTACCCGTACGTTAGCTGCGACTCTGCTCATCGTCGTTGGCGCTGAAACTCGTAATTCAGCCTGAACCTAGTGACTTGTTGGTAACTTGTGCAGAAAATCATCTGAGGGAACTGCTTGAACATATGGAAGCCACTCAATCAGCATCAACCCTAACGCACGTTTTGGAGACCCTGGTAGGATACCTTTTGGGGTGGCTCTACTTTTACGTACGCAACTATGTGGTCTGGGATCCACCGCGCATACAGGCGGAGCATTGTCTGGAAAGCATAGCTGTCCACAGCGTCAAAACACCGGATAATCATATGTTCCACCCTGTCAGCTAAGAAACCAACCAACCCAAGAAAAAGAGCCAGCGCTGAAGCGCACAAGAAAAGGTTTACCTGCTCACGGGCCTAAATGCCTTAAAATTCCAATCCCCTTAACCCTAAACTTTTCTCCCTAGGCTAAAATATCGCAGTACCGGGTGCTTGGAGACGTGGGGTTGAGGAAAGTGAACCAGTAAGTGATCACGATGTAAGGGGTTAAAGACTAGCGTCTGAGGCCTTTACGCTTCAAGACATAGCCGTAACTCAAGGCTCTTGTGCTCTTTATGAACAGCCGGCTCAGAGCTCTACTCATGATTGAAAAACACATTGCTGCGCATTCGCTTCAGTTGTTTCTGCTTTCGCTCCATGTGAGTCTTGAACTCTCTGCGGGTGTTTAGATGCATAAGAGCTAGCGTGTGCGTGTGTGTGTGTGTGTGTGTGTGTGTGTGTGCGTGTGTGTGTGTGTGTGTGTGTGTGTGTGTGTGTGTGTGTGTTTTTAGGTTATATATTTGAACATACATATACATAACCATGCTGTGCATGAAAAAGAGGGAGAGGGAGTCAGTTTGAGGCTTTGCGTTGGTTGGCGTAATTGTTTGTTTGCTTGCTGGCTTGCACGCCTCCATGTGTGCGGATTTCTTATTGGTTTGTTTGTGTTTGAGGGTGTGGACGTGTTTTATCTGCCTGTCTGTCTGGCTTTCTGTTTGTTTGGCTGTCTGCCTGACTGTCTCCCTGTCCGTCCATCCTTCTGCTATGTACATGTTGTATTGTTGCAACACATTTCCAAGCCGGCACAGTCTTATCATGCAGTCTACTTGCATCGAGTAAGCCGGTGCTTATAGCAACTTCTTCTAAGCAGCCCAACAACCTTAAGCACTTGACATGTTAACATGGTGCCGTGTGAATCCATACACACCTTTTTCGATCCTGAGAAAGCGGCTTCCTGCCCAGCTTTGGTTCATAAAGGGGCCTTAACATCTAGAGCAGTACTCACTGCAGTTCCTTGTTCATGTCGCGACCAAAATAAGCTACCCCCAAACCCTTTTCTACATATTAATGACGCGCCTATGTTGCGATGCCGGTACCCTGAACCCAGACCCTACACTGCAAGCCCGAAACTCTACACCCTAAATCTGCCGCGCGAAACTGTACACCCTACACCCTAAACCTTCAGCTCTCCTTCGGTTTGGGTCGTGCTTGAAAGACTGAGGCTCGCGAGATTGTGTTTGGGGCGGACCCAAGCCTTCGAACTCTTGTAATAAATGATGGCTATGGAGCTGGTTGGAGTATACCAATGTGGCTCTGTGACTGCACATACCCAACCTTTGGGGCGAAATCTAGCCTGAAAGGGCTGCCGGTTCAACTACCATAAAAGGGGTTCATAGAACACAAGTACCCTGCTTTTCATGGTCTTTTGGTACTTAAGAGGGTACATGTAGACTAGGAGTATGGAATATAGGGATTGTGGAATTAGGCCCAGAAACCATAATAAGTCTAAGACTACGGCAGCTGCGGGTGCTTTTTACCCCAGTGCTTCAGCAGAAACTCGTGAGCCTTCAAGCGGAGAGAGCGGCGCATCTGCGAGCGAACAGTCGATCGGAACATCCCTCTCTCTTAGGGACATTGGCTGTGCATGACCGAACTGCGATCTTCAGATTTACACTGCTTCAAAACAATCTTTCCTTCCTTTACAGGGAGACTTAGTCGCCCGGAAAGAGGCCACCAATCGCTAGCGAGTTTGGGCTTGGTGAGGATATCCGCTCTTTGTAAGTGAGTGGGTACCCAAACAAGCGGAGCCCTAGCATCATCGCAATCAGGAGTCTCTTCCTTCAGCGTCTGTCTCAGGCAAGCAATATCTATTGCTAGCCTTCGGTCGGAAGGTGTACGAGGCAATCCATCACGGTGCATGTGGTCGTAGAGGGACCGGCAGTCGGTCACTCCCAACATCGGGATGTTCTTTCCGGCATCACGGGTGATCTTGCCAGTGAGGAAGGAGTCGATCATTGCCCTCACATACTGGCCAAGCTCGAAGCCTTCAATGCATCCCATGGTCTCGGCACCGAAAGTTGACCTACATACCCGGTCGCAAGCATGGGAGCGCCATTCGAGGATGCTGGCCGGAGCTCCAGCGGAATTGATCCCGTCCTTGCCGCATAGCATGACCAAAGCGCCCAGTTGGGAAGCCACGCTCGAGTTCCTCTTCTTGGTCTTCCGGGCCTTGGTGATCCAGGGCCCCTCAACGATCAAGCCGGCTTCCTCGTCCTCAGGGCACAAGAAGTAGACGGGGTCCTCGTTGAAGTCCGGCGCATTGCTCCATCCAGCGTCGTGGAACACGGTGACCACCATCTCCTCGAGGGGGATCTTCGCCAAGAGGATCCCTTCGTCTTTGTGTAGTAGTGCACGCTTTGCCATGGTGTTCGTGAACCGGACATCCTCAATAGTGGGTCTGGCTTGTAGTTGCTGGCACATTGAAACTCCACAAGCCAAATCTGGCCTGGATTGTGAAGCCAGCCACGAGAGGGCACCCACCAAGGAGCGGTTGTCGGCGACCTGCTCGGCGTCGGCTAGGGCATCACCGGGTGCCTTCGGGTCGACGTAGATCTCGAAGAGTCGGTTGGTGGCATAGGAGGACTGGGAAACAAAAATGCCATCAGGTCGGGTCTCAATATGGGAACCGATAAAGTCGAAGACATCCTCTTCCCACTCCTCGACAGGAAAACATCCAGAAAGTTGTCCTTGGACAGAAACTCTGAGGGCATGGGGTCCAACAAGTAGGATATCATCCACGTGCACAGCCGCGTAGCAGATGGGGCGTCCGTCGCCCCGTCTTCCATCCTCGTCGAGCTCGATGAGCTGGAACACGCACGGATCCAAAGGTGACGCAAAGAACTTGCCCTTCTTTCCTTCGGGTAACTCGATGGTCATCTCCTGGATGTCCTTCTTGAACTTCTTCCACCACTTTCGAGGGCTGTCGATCAAACCGAATACCCCCTTCTCGACCTTTATAAGTTGATCTGGGTGAAGTCCGGGAAGTCCATGTTTTGGTTGTCGTAGATAAAGTTCGCGGTCCAACTTCTCACCATTGAGGAACGCTGCGGTGACGTCGCCGGCTGCGACGCCCCATCCGGCGTCGGATTGTGAAGCGGCCAGCTGTAGCAGTGTCATCACAGCCGTGCGGGACACCGTAGGGGAATCCGTCCGCAAAGCTCCGGATACTATGTCCGGGTCCGTATGCCCAGACACCACAAGTCGCGACTTTGCCTTCCATTCAACCGAAGGGTCAGTCCGTCTTCGGGCAAGATTTTTATCGCGATATGCGAACCTCGAAGAGAGCACTCTTCCGGACTTGGCTTTCTCGGCGCTTTCTGCAAGGCTGAGAGGTCGAAGGGCTCCGAGGCGAAGATGTTCTTCCCATTGTTTGTGTTCAGCATCTATGAACAGTTGTCGCTTCGACTCTGGTATCATAGACCACGGGATCTCCTTCTCGAGCTGTTTGTCCCGGCCGCGCTTCGTGGTGGCCCGCTTAAGCATGTAGGTCTCGTTGATGTCGTCCCCACCTCCAGGGTGGTCGTAGGGCTCTGGCCTTTTCGTGGAAAACCTCCTGCGGACGGCGCGGGGTGGATCGCCTTGAGAAGGGGCGGAAGGTTCACCCTCAGGTAGGTCTCCATTATCCAGATCCATGTCGCCGGTCTCATCCTCGTCCATGTCTCCCTCCACCTCGGAGAGGTCCATCACGGCATCGAAGAGGTCCTTGTCCTGGATCTCGGCATCGTCCTCACCCGGGAAGACGGCGGAGTCGTCGTAGTTGTTCTCCACCAGGCGTAGTAGATCGTCCTTCGTAGCGCGCAGTGCAAACATGCCACCGAGCTCCTCCGGGAGAGCTTTGCGAAGATGTTCGGGGGCGCACAGGTAGCAGCGTCCACTGTGGGAGATCCAGTAGTTGTTGTCCTGTCGCCCAATCACAACTCCGGGCCCTTTCCATAGTCCGGTCTTTTTGTTGGCTGGCTTCCTCCAGAACAGAACCATGGCCCCGTTATCGAGGTCTCGCGGTTTCACGCGTGCTCTTTGTGACATCCCCCTCCGGATCTTGTCCTCTGTGCGCGACTTGAAGAAGGCCATCTTAGCGGAGTTCCGGATGATCTCGCGCCGGTGTTGGGCCGAATCCGGTGTCCGAAGTAGTTCTCCTCCGCCTTCTTCCACTTCGAACTTCAAATCCTCATCACTGCGGGGGTTCTTGCCGAAGACAATCTGGCATGGAGCCCAACCACAACGGCGGCGAAGTTCGTTCTTTGCGGAGGACGTTGCTGCAATGGCTTCCTCCACTTCGTCTCCCCGCACAGTCTGGTCCTTGACCACCCTCGCGAAGATCTCTTTCCACCACTTTCCGTGCCTTTCCGTAAATCCGGACTGCCAATGGGCCTGTCCGGCGCTGGTGCGGAGGTCGATGTGGAACCAGTCGGCAAGTCGACCGAAGGCATCCTGGATGCCCCGCTCGAGGTCGAGAGTGATCACCTTCGGCGCTCCAAACACCTGGATCCAGTGCTTCACGAAGATCTTCTCCAGGACTGCTCCGGTCTGTCGGGGTACTTGGACCACGACTTGATATGAGGAGGCGTGGTCGACAATGGAGAAGAGCTTGATCTTCTTGCCGTCAATGTCGTAATCATACATCATATCGACTCCGACCACATCTCCAAACTCCAGTAGCTTGGGTTCCGCCGCCGGGCGGGCACTCTTGGGTCCTTTGGCCCTCGCACAGGTAGAACAGGAGAGACTCTTAGCTGCCTTGATCACGTCCTTGTCGGCCCCGGCCAAATGCAAATGGCGAACCAGGTCTTCACGGGCAGGGTGTCCGAGGTTCTGGTGTAGTCGTCGAAGGGCGGCTGCGACATCCTTGGGCACTTTCTTGTCGAACGTGATGCCAGCTGCCCCTTCGCGAAGTTGCTCTTCGCCTGGTTCCCTTCCAGACTCGCCCTCCGCCATGAAACTCGAAGAGGTACTTGGGGTAGAGGCCTTATAGCACGTCTTGTCATCGAGGACGAGGGTGTCGACGGTGCCCAAGTTCTCGAGTTGTCGTAGAACACGTCCTCGAAGTTCCATGGAAAGCTTGTCTATCGGAACCACAACTGATCCATACTGCTGTACTTGCCATCTGCCACAAACGTCCACAACCTCGAAGAACTTGGCCTCCTCGTAGGACTCGTCAGGGGAAACAGGATGGATCCACAACATAGAGGGCCGCAACTGGTTGAGCATCCTGACAACATGGCCTCCCGCATCGTCGTAAGGTATGTCCTCCCAAGGGATTGGCTCGGCGGCGTAGCAATTGAAGTCCGAGGTAGCAAGGAGAGTTTGCTCCATGCCGCCGATTTCAAGCAGGGCCACCGAAGAGCAGGAAGGTAGTACCTCAGCAGAAGGTGTGGCCGCCGCAAGTGCCATAGACAGTGATGACAAAGACCAGGTGAGAAAAGCGCTTGCCCGGGCCGCATTCCTCCACAAGCTTTTCCTCATACTCTTCTTGGGGCGTGTAGAGGAGGAGGGCGGCGTTGTGGTCGCATTCGTGTCCTCCCAGAGAGGTAGGGCCTTTTGATTGGTGGGGTGGTCGACAATCTGCTTGCGATCACGTGAAAGATGCCGGAGATCGTGTAGAGGGAACCCCCAGAGTCGTAGTTGACGTCGCTCTCCTTGAGTGCTTCCGGCGAATCCTCTAGTAGAGAAAGCCGTCACAGACCATCTGTTCCCGCCATGCCAGACCTGAGCGGAGTGAAAGTGTTCGGGTCGGAATGGAACCACACAGCCGGAGGCACATAGCACTTTTCCACGGATCTCGCGCCCCTTTGGGTCCAGCATGACATCAGTTCCTTTGACGAGTCCATTCTCTTGCCAAAGACCGCCTCCATCGGTAAAATCGCCGGCACACGTGATGTAGTTGAGGGTCCCCTTGAGGTTGTTGAAGTCGGAGTGTACACGGGGAGCGCAGTTGAAGGCGATTGAGAGGGACGACCATTTTGCCTCCGGGTACTTCGAAAGGATGTATTCCTTCAGGTAGAGGCAAAGCGAGGCATACTTGGAGGTATTCGCACAGATCCCACGCATGTTCCCGTAGGTGTAGTATCCAAGCGACAACCTGTTGCTCCCGGTGTCGTCCTCTCCCATGGCTTTCCGTCTTGCTCGGGCTCCACGACGTGGGAAGTCCTCGCCGTTGATTCCGAAGGTATTCTCCAGGATGGAGGCCAGGGTGGCCACGCTGAAATCCTTGTTCTTTGTGGCCTCGGAGATCAAGTTCTCGACGTTCTCAGAGAGCAACACGTAGGAGTCCTGATTCTCACCCGTGATCTCGTCCCACATCTCCGCATCATCCTCGTCGCCGTCGTGGTAGGCAAAGGCCGCGTCCTCGTAGAACTCCTCCACGTCGTCCCCGCCCGCGTCCTCCTTGGTCTCGTAGGCCGGAGCGTTCACTGGGGACCCACCTGATCCTTCAGCACCGCAAGGCGTTGCTCCAGCGCCTTGATCTCCTCCAGGACCTGGGAAGGAGGGTCCACGTGCATCCTCTCCTTGGCGGTCTCCTTCTCCACACTGCGTTTCGCCGGCGACCCCTTCGTCGGGATCTGGATTGTCGAACTCGACGGAGTCAGCGGCCTTTGGTCCTTGTCCACGGAGCTCATCGCCGACACTTCCTCCCAGGACCGGGACGATGCTGACCCCGGATAGGGAACCTTGGCATAGCGCTCGGGCTCCTCCATCATCTCGCGCCGCGAAGGTCCGCGCGTCGTCTCTTTCTCCTCCGTCTTCCGGCGGTACCAGAGAACGAAGCGCTTGAGGTCCGCACTCATATTGATCCCGTTCTCGCGCTCCTCTCGGCACGCCCACTCCGCATACTGACGGGGAATCTGGAAGAACGCGTTCCCTTTGTAGCGGCCGATCTGCATGATGGTGTTGTCCGGCGTCTCGTGGTAGTCTCTGATGTGGCGCATCAACGTTCCCCTCGTCACCTTGGAGTCGTAGATCACCCCGATGCGATCGGCCTCCATTTTGAGGTCTGCCAGCTTCATGCCCGACAATCCTTTCGGGACACCCTTCTCCGCCTTGTCGATCGCCTTGCTCTCGGTGATCGCGCTGCGCAGCTCCTCCACGGTCCACGTAGTCATCGGATTCAGGCTGAGGCGGGTCGCTTCGGCAAGGAGTTCTGCCTTTGTCATCTGCCATGTTGGGCGCGACGACATTACCAGAGAGGCCGGGCGGAGTTCGAATTGGGGCAATCGGTCTACGATTGAACACTGTGCGGCCAACCCAGAGGCACTGGTGACAGTTCGAGGCTTCCGTGGGCATCGCATTCCAGAAGTCAACTGCCAGAGGGAGACCGCGCTGTGATCGGCAACTGATGCTGAAAGTTTCCCTGATACTACCAAGAACCTTCAAGAGATTGTCTCGCAGCAAAGATTGTTGAGTGCCCCAATTCGTCGGACTGAACAAAGACTTCCGAGGAGTAACATGAATGCGTACCATCGAACACGGTGTCTCTATCCAGAAATCGGACATAATACGGGTTTGGTTCCACCACTTCACGAAGTTCTCAACAGATAGCGTCTCACTGACAAGGAGGTTCTTCACTTCAGGGGGGATCTTCTTGGCATAAAATATCTGGGGAAACAGTGCTTGACGATCTCGACTTTCAAGAAGGGCATTAGCAGCTACAAATGCTTCACAGTGACCCGTTCCCCCGCTGCAATCCGCCATGTATGCTGCCGAGCCGAGAAGGATCTGTACCTCACCGCGGACGCACTTGTTGGCGTCCCACATGTCTGGCCGTGCTTGCGGCGGGATGCCCTGACCTCCAGGATGAACGCTGATTGCGGGATGCCCGGTAGGAGTCGAGAGCAGTGGGTACCCGGTCACGCGCACGGCCTCGAAGTCCGCCTTATGCTCCTTCAGGTTGTAGACCATTCCTAGTTCGGCCAAAACGGATCGGCTCAGCAAGAGCGGGAGGTCCCCGTGGATGATTGCTACCTTCACGAGCACCCAAGAAGAACCCACCTTGAAAGAGACCACGATGGCGTAGTTAGAGGAGTAGATGCGGGAGGCGCCGAATCGGAAATTATCAGACTCCCCCAACAGCGGGACCTCGATCCCGAAAGACTTGAGGACCTCCACATATCGCTGCAGCCAAGAGGTCCCGGCCACGGATTTAGTACAGGCACTGTCGGTGATCGCAAGGAGGTTCTCGCTCAGCGGGCCACTTGTCATGAAGACCTCATTGGAGATGTTGGCGGTTTGGGGTTTGCCAGGTTCGGGGTTTCCTTTCGGTTTGCCATTCGGAGGTCCAGGGCATTCAGGGTCCTTGTACCAGTGGCCGCGCTGCTTGCAGACACTGCAGAAGGAGCGCTGTTTCGCACTCTGGATTTTGCTTTCGATAGCTCTCTTCACCTCTTCCGGTTCCAAGTTGCGGCCCTTCACAGCATCGCGGTACTGGGCCTTGGCGGTCATGAATGCCTCGTAGAGCTCCTCCTCGTCCGGGTTCTGGGGCACCTCAGTCTCGAGGTCTCCGCCGTCGTCCTCGCCTTCCTCCGGGATGGGCTCCGCATTGTTGGCAGAGTTCACCTTCAGGTTGTTCTTGGAGCGGTCCCACAACTTCGGGTGATCCTTGTCCCAGGGACGTCGAAGACTTTTCTCATGTAGAACCGCAGCACGTTGAAGCTTGGAGCACACGAACTCATTGTTCACGCTGCCGAGGATAGCCAGCTCCTCCGAGTGCGACAAGGAGAGAGCGCTCAAGTACGCCCAAGCCCGGGCCGTCTCGGGGAGCTTGCACTCGATCTCGACCAATCTCGCGTAGGCCCGGTCGAAGGTCGCGTTGAACTCTCGCACCGATTGGTTGGGACCCCGACGTAGCTTCCTGAAGAAACCGTTAAGGGCCTCCGCGATCTTGCCCACCTCGATCTCTTGGTAGCGCTCCGCAATCCAGGCCTTGAACTTCTCCACGCCATCAGGTACACAAAGTTCAGCGACCTCAAGTTCCTCAGCCTCGATCCACGCACGGCCCTTCAGGTTCTGGTACAGCAGCAGAGCTTGCTGGGCACAGGGAGTCCGGGTGACGCGGACCCATGCCTCGATCTGCCTGATGTAGCTGCGAGCAGACTGGCCAAGTTCGTCACCGCTATTGTCCGCCGAGAAAGAAGGCACAGACATCCTTTCACTCAGAGCTCCGCGCCGTTCTCCATCATCAGAAGAAGGTGGCCGGGACGGATTCCCGTCTGAGGTCAGAGATTGCTGCTGCCACGCATCTCCAGGAATGGCGTTGCGGTTCCATTCCGTCTCCCAAGGGTTGTTTGAGGAGTTCGTACCGGTAGAACGGGCCCATTCGGTCTCCCATGGCGCGTTCGAGGTGTTCACCGAGTTTGTACGAGTCCACTCAGTCTCCCACGGCTGGCCGGATCCGGTCCCGGAGGTAGAACGGGTCCACGAAGTTTCCCATCCGCCATTCCCGGTGGCGCCAGGAGCATTCCCAGACCAGGCATATCCATGATGGTATCCAGAGTTCCATCCAGACTTCCACGAGGTCTCCCACTGAGAGTTGTCAGGCCAAGCACCGTTCCAGGCATGCTTCGTAGGGTCATAGGGCCCCCATTGAGGCTCCGCTTTCCACTCACGGTCCTCCTCCGGTTGGTCGCCAGAGGAAGTAGGCTCGCTCTTGATATGATCCCTGTCAAAGGCAGGGTCCCCATTCGCATTCTCGGCGTCCTCGCCCGAATGCTTCCCTTTCCGCCAAGCACGGCGGGTGCTACCGCCGTCTTCACCGCGTCCGTCGGGAGAATCAACGTCACCAGGAGGATGAGCAGCCCGGGCGGCTTCCGCCCAGGGATCTAGCGGCGCGGCCGCGCCATCATCATCACGAAGTCCGTCGCCTGGCGAGGAAGACATTAAGGAGCCCTAGGGGCTCCGCTACCAATCTAAGACTACGGCAGCTGCGGGTGCTTTTTACCCCAGTGCTTCAGCAGAAACTCGTGAGCCTTCAAGCGGAGAGAGCGGCGCATCTGCGAGCGAACAGTCGATCGGAACATCCCTCTCTCTTAGGGACATTGGCTGTGCATGACCGAACTGCGATCTTCAGATTTACAATAAGGATGGTCTGTTTGGACCTAACCCCAAACCCTACTGTTGTGATACAAATCCTGCATGACCCATAATAAGGAATATACCATAATTTCCATAGTGTAGGGTCCTTAAGGTAATGCAAAGTTTATACCATCAACCCTAGCTTAGAGGATCCTTAAGGGAGGGTGGTTCAAGGGGGGAGGGTATAAGGAATCCTTAGGGGACTGTAAGGGAACCTTAGGGAGTACTAGGGAGAATTAGGGATCACTAGGCTATATACCCCACTTGGACCCCCCTCCCTTAAGGATACTACAATTTAGGGTCTATTTCAGGGCCAAGCTCGGGCTTTAGAGCCCAGTTTTGGGGTTACTTGGAGGGTCGGGGGGGGCTTAGTAAGTAGTTATTTAATGGGGATATGTAAGGATTCCTTAAAGGGATCTTTAAGAAGGGTTTAGGGTGTAGGGTCTACTTGGAGGGTCGGGGTACTTGGTAAATAGTTATTTATTTATAGAGGTCTAAGTACCATTACCCCAATTAGGATCCATTGTTAGGCTGCTTATAACTCCAAACTTATTACCCACTTACTAAATCCCCCGACCGTCCACGTAGAGCTTCGGGTTTAAACCTTAAACACTAAACTCAAGATCATGGGACTTAACATGCCTTGTGTAACACCTTCTTTGTCCTAAGTCCCAAACCCTAAACCCCAAAACTCCTTAAGCGGTCTGCAGGGACAATCTTGTTCAAAGACGGAAACGTCCGAAACTCGCTGCACAACTTGAGCCCTCAACCTTGAAACCCCACAGCAAAATTCCCTGCAGCCGGATGTTATGCTCCTCGTCCAGAATCCCGGGTAAGACGCTGAAGGGTTCAAGATCCCGCATGTTTCAGGTACTTAGGTGTAGGATGTTAGCTTTTGTAGGTAAGAAGTTGGGAGGGTATATGACTACTAGGCACTGGGACGCTTAGGGCTATGTCTGAATTCTAAGACCCTTATATCCAGGGCAAAAGGAAGGACCCTTAATAAGGACCCCTAGGTAATATACCCCTGCTAGGGGCCCCCCTTAAGGGTCCCTCCTTTTCGCCGTTGATTATAGTGAGCCAGAAACAAGCAAAGCCAAAGACGAAGATGCTCACAAAGTTTCTGAGTTTAGGGCTTAGTTTGGAAGTGGCTTGGGTGCTTCGGTACCTAGCACCCTGGGCCCTAAATCCTTCCAACCTACACCTTAAAGCGTGCAACTCAAACTCGCTCAAAAACTAAGCCGAGAAGACTGTAGTGCTACAGGTTGACCCGCCAACCTTAAACCCAAAAACCTCACTCCCTACAAGCCTACTACCGAGGGTCCAGGCATCTCCTTAGGCTGGTCCGGTCTCTCCTAGCGAGAGCCCTTGGGTCTCTTTGGTGTTTCAGAACTCCTACATTTTGAGGTTCCCCGAAGTGTTAATTAGGACCCTTGTGGCTTCGGTTCGAACCCCTAAACCCCAGAAAGTCACAACCCTAAGCCACAAAGTCTAGACCTTGCACCCCACACCTTAGCCTTAGACAGGTAAACATCTTTCGTCTTTTGGGCAGTGTAGAGGCCTTGAGAACTTTGAAAAGGTCTGCGCATTAATTAACTGTAATGCCCTTTTAAACGGGAGCCCTGAAGACCAGCACAAACCAGAAAATCAAACCTTACACCCCCATGAACCCTACACACAAAAGCTCAGCTAATAAGACTCGGCAACCCGATACCCGCTCCTCAGAACCAGGGTACGCCTTCCCCCAAATAAAGTTCTAGGACAAACCATAAAACCCACACTTTCGATCCTGTTTGGGTAAGCCGGGGGCCGGAACTAGCACGTCCCCTATATGAATAAGGAGGACTAAGGAAGGATGATAACACAAGTTCAACCCGCCATATACACCCTCAACCCTAAACGCTCCATAAATCCTGAACCCTGAAGCCCTAATCCTTAACTCCTATAATGCGTAAACCTTAGAACCCAAACCCTGAACCCTACACTATACTGGACTTGGTACCCCGCAAAGCTTGAAATTTTAGCTGTCTCGCAGTAGTCACCAAAACTTAATGCCCCTAAATCCTAAACCCTAGGCCCTAAACCCTAAACCCCTAAAACCTAAACCCTAAGGTTTGGGTAAGCACGGTGCCGGATCCAGCACGTTCTCCCGAATGTACTGCTCAAAACGAGGCCTCTCAAGCCCAGAGGAGCGAGATGAGCTCCCCTACTTGGAGGATCCGGGGACTTACGAAGTAGTTATTTTAAAGAGTTATAAGTACCATAACCCCAATTAAGGCCCCTTTTAGGGTATTATAACCCTACTTATTACTGACTTACTAAGTCCCCCGATCCTTCAAGTAAGGCTCCATGTACCCATACAGGGGTCTAGGGGTTAACGGTTTAGGGTTTAGGGGTTAGGGAATTAGGGTTTAGCGGTTTAGGGCCATGTACCCATATAGTACATACTGAGGCCTTAAAGTACCTATATAGGGACCCCTTTTACGGCTTAAGTATCTATTATAAATAGAGGTACACGGAGGAGCCTTGGGTTCGTTGCTTCAGTTGTCGCGTTTGGGGTATAGGGTTGGTTTAGGGTTTAGAGTTCCCGAAATAGGGGTCCCTTATTTGGGGGTCCTTATAATAAGGATGCTACTATTAAGGTGGTTTTAAGGTTTTGGGTTTTAGGGTTTTATGGTATTAGGGTGTACCCTAAGGGTCCAGGTATCTCCTTAGGAGGGTGCGGAATGTCCTAGGGAGAGTCCTTGGGTCTCTTTGAGGTCTCAGAAACCCGTAATATTGAGGTTCTCTGATTTTTTAAGACCCTTAGGGTAGGGTTACCCTGCTTGGAGGATCATGGGGCTCAGTAAGTAAGGATATTAGTACCTAATTATGGTGTCTCGTAGCTGTTTGCTAGTTACCTGATTTTTCACCCTAGTTACTGCATCCCACGCCTCATTAAGTGTATACTCTATACCGCATTTAACCTAAACCCAATGCCTTGAACCGTCCTAAACCCTACATACACCTGGAACCCGAGACAAGGGCAGATGATTGAAACTCTGCAAAACGAAGGGGCCCCTTCACTACGGATTACTCACTATTCAGGGCCCATATGGGTAGTTATCAAAATTATGGTCCCTTTGGGGTCCCGAAAAAAACGGCACCTAATGTTTAGGGTGCCCAAAAAGGGACCATAATTTTGACAACCACCCATATGACTTATAGTTTTGAGGCTGTGCGGCCACAAGAGAGCACTTTGCGAACATCCCTAAAAGGTTGATTTGCGGCTTAGAGTTCAGGGTTTGGCGTTCAAGGTTTAGGGTTTAGGGGTTTTGGGTTTTCACCATGGATTGAACTAGTTAAAGCACTACACCGAAACCCGCACAATGTAAAGCCCTAAACTTCTAAGAGCCCTAAACCGTGTTTACAGCAACCCTAAGAGAACCCTTTATAAACTATCGGTATCGCACCCTTACAGAAGCCCGCGTGGCCTTTGGTGCGTGAAAAGCGAAGCACCGAATGCCGAGATGCTCGACATACCTTCCCGCAGACCCAAAGCGCATGTCTAGGAATATATATATATATATATATATATATATATATATACATTCAAAAAAGCTTCTCTATGACTTCAGGAGATTCCTATAAGCGTAAGCATAACGCAAAAACCACAAACCCCAAAAAACACAAGAGCCATAGGGATATGGCCCAGTCAAGTGGTTTGGGAGCTCTGAGTTTCAACCCAAGCAGTTCAGGCTTGCCCAGGAGGAGTTGGGATTCCAGGGCCTTGCATGGCTTCGAGCTTTGGGATCTTGGTATGGCAACCTTTCCAAAGATAGACCAACACATATAAGGCTCAATAAAAAGTCAAAAGTTCTCCCGTTGCCTAATATGGGATCCATACGGGGTGTAGCGTCCAGGACCGACACTGCTGGGATGGTGGATTAGGTCAATTACGGAGTACTTTGGCATTGAAATTGCGATATCGATGAGCGTTCCTGCTAAATGTCATTCAGGGTTCCTGTAGAGGTTCCTCCAAGGGCTCGTTAAACACAAATATCTAGGCTGTAGTTAGGGACCACTCCTCACCTCATTGTTGCGTATTCGTCTTTGCAGTTGTGCAATGTTCTTGTTGTTCTACGGTTTGTGTTGATGCCGTGGCAAGCCAAGCCTATACTGAACGTAGAACCCTGGCAAAAATTGTAATTTTAGCTGTTTCTTATGGTTTATAATAACCAAAAATTAAAGCATATTTCTAGGTACCCCTAAGTCATCGGGATCAGAGGGCCCTCCCTTCAGAAGTATCGCCGCTGCAGCACTCACACAGAACATGCGGGTCACGCGGCCCTCATGCACAAGATCAGCAAAACAAACACTGGCAAAGACCGCGCACCACCCGACCTGAACACTGCAACTTCGAACCCTTGAGCTTCACGAGTTGTATTCAGCGCCTCAACCCTGAAATCGCAACAGCTGAAACTTTAAATCCCCACACCCTAAACTATCTTAAGTAACCCCTTATGAACTTTGGCCGCCCTGCCAATTCTTGGACATTGAAAATCATTCGAAGGGCCCAAACCGAACCCACCTGAGAAGGTAAGCAAGCATCGTTTACGGCTTGTAGGGGTGTTTTCTGTGCTTTGTTGGGCTCTAAGGGCTTTCATGGGGTTTGCGCTGCTTTTGCATAAGTGTTTGCAAGTATTATGTACAGGTTTAGGGTTTTCGACCAATTCAGGGAGTGCGACTTAACGCAAAAACCAGGAGTGCACACTATCCTAACTTACCTAACTATAGCCAATTGTACCAAGAAATTCAAACCCGGTGCCAAAAGAACAGCAAACGAACCTACACCCTAAACCCCAGAGCCTGAAGCAGGACATCCCGCAAACACCAACTAACACCCTCGACAGTCCGGCATACTCTTCCTACAGGCTTCCGGATGATACGGTTGATGATATCCACCTTTATTACCTAAAGGCCCCTACCCTAAAATCCTAAACCCAAGCCGCGGAACACCTTAACCCCTTAAACCCCGAACTTGGTTGCGGCGAAGGGGCCGATAAGAAGGCGCACTTCACGCTCGAGAGCGCTTTGACCTGACTTGCCAAAGAGGCCCCAAAACCGGAATCAGGATGGCCTTCTAGGACCTGAATCCAAGGTTGCAGTACATATCGATCCTGTGGGTTCGTTTTGGGCCCTTCGATTTCGAACATGCTTTAGGGTTTACTCTGACACCAAAAGTATGTACTGTAGGGGCCTCAATAAGTGCCAATGATTTTTTTGGGGGTGCCTTTTTGTGTGTATATATATATATATATATATGTATATGCTCGCCCCCCCCCCCCCCATGAACCACCGCTAGTGGTCTGGGGAGTGGAGCGCGTTATGCAAAGTGCCCATCGAAATAGAGCTAGAGTGTAGGGGTTTTACATTTGCGGGGAAGGGCTATTTTTTGAGGAGCCTTGTCGTGCGATGTCTCTAGAGCCGTTATCTAGACGTCCTGGGCTACAGCACTTTTACCGGTATTTACAGTGCTTTCTAGATGTTTTACATATGGAAGAAATCTCAGGAATTGTAGTGTTGAGCTTCTAAAAGCTGAGAGCTCTAGGGCTTTGTTTTCGGGTTCAGGAAACCTTAAACTCCGTGTGGAAGTGGAACCGTTATGGCGCCGTGAAAGGAACCTTAAACCCTGAAGCCCTCAACCCCAAGGTTTCCTAGGATACCCAGTAACCTAAGAATAAAAAGACTACTAGGGTTCCTTTAAAGGGGGTCCTTTAAAAAGGCTACTATAAGGGATCTATAAGGGTACCAGAATATACTAGGATACCCAGTAACCTAAGAATAAAAAGGCCTCTCTTTTTGGTATTGGGTAACTTTAATAAGGAACCTAGGACTACAAAAAGGGAATAAGGGTACTACTGGGCATCCTAGTTTCTTTAAGAGTTGAGGGTTTGCGGGTTTAGGGTTTTTGTTTTTTTTGTCCTGGTGTTTCAGGTTTACCCCAAGGGTCCAAGTACCTAAGTATCATGCACTCTCCAAAACTCTAACCTGCATAACTAGTATCCTAAAACCGAGTACCTGATTGTTGGGTCCTTTGGACCCTTAGGGTTACGGCTTCAGATTCCAGATCTGGGCTTCAGATTCAAACTCTGCAAAACCACTTTGGTTTTGGGCTTAGGGTTTGGCATTCAGGGCCTAAGTACTTAATCATATACCATATACTCACCAAAATTCTAACCTACATAACTATTATCCCAAAAACCGAGTACGTAATTATTGGGTCCTGTGGAGCCTTGCGTTTAGCCTTGGGGCTTACCTACTTGTCGGGTATCATGGGGAACTAACGGTTAACCTTTATTGGTTATAGGTAGTATACTACCCAAAGAAAGTTAAAGGATATCTACTCTGCTACTAGGTTTAGGGTTTTGGGGGATTAGGGCCTGAGTCTGATTCCCAGCCTTCTGCAGTCGCTTGTCGGAGCTGTCTCCTGAAATTTGCGCCCGGCAAGACTTTGGGGGGGCGGGGGGGGGGGGGGGGTGGGGTGCGGGGTTTGGCATTTGGGGTTTAGAGTTTAGGGTTTTTGGGCGTGCGGTTTTAGGGCTTAGGGGTCTAGTTGAGGGAGCTGATTAAGACACAACCCCACTGTATCTGGACTCATAGAAGGAGGAACCCCGAACAAGACTGGGGATTTCTTAATCAATCCTAAGAACTAGCTTAGGTAAGTATTGAGGCAGACATATAGCATAGAGGCTTGCTTAGCCGCTTAGGGCTTTGGGTTCTCTTAGATTGAGGGTTTAGGTGGTTTTAGGTCAATATAACTGGGGTGTTGAAGTGGCTTGGGGTTTCAAGGGTTTTAGGGTAGATTCTAGGGCATTGCTGCTGGTCTTCCCACGGCAAAACCCACAACATAAACACAAAGTTCACACAGAGCCCTATATACAGTCACCAAGCCCCTTATCTAAGCCCCACGTCGTATGAACGTAGAGTATCCTAACGGAAGTCGTTGTTGCGGTCGAAACCGTTAGTGCAGCAGACGCCATCACAAGACTATTCCCCAGACCCTAAATGTAAAGCTTGAAAGGTTGCGAACTAGCCCCAGACCTCGCTGCGACCGGAGGCACATGAGTTTGCTCGAGCAGCCGAAAAGCCGAGCGATTTTGGCGAGGCCCACGGGGTGTGGCGTCTTGACTTCTAGTTCTAAATTGGTAGCGGAGCGAATAGCGCTCCTAGGACCTAGTTTTTGGCTGTAGCCTCCTCGTTTGATGTCGACCTGCGGTCCCACGAGTTTCTACAGTACTTGGCAGCACGATGGCGTTCCTCAACCTCCCAACGATTCCCCCGAAGATCACGGTGATGGCGTAGACGGTGATGCTAGGCCTGATCCAGCTAGAGCTCCTCGAGGTGACGAACATGATGCTGCGCAGGGCTACGCGGCTCCGGGCACTACCTGGGGCAAGTGGAGTGAAGGCCAGCGGTCAAGCTGGTGGGGTCACTCCTGGGGTGATGCTGATCCAAACTGGAATAGATCTGGGTGGGCTCAGAACTCTGGCAATGGTCAGCATTGGGATCCTCGCTGGCAAGACTGGCGTGGATGGGGCTCGGCTTCTACGGGATCCGGATCAGGAGACGGGAACTGCTACGATAGGGACTCCAAGGACTCGGGGACCGAGCCCTGGGGACGATTTGTTTCTGCAGGAGATTCGCGTGGAATCCAGGACGGTTCTCAAGTCGGAGGATGGGGTCCTGCTACTGATGCTCAAGGCAAAGGGTTCCACGGGAGACCGAGCGAAGGGGGCCGAGGCCCTTCGGAGAAGATGATTGTACCGAGTTTCTCCGGCAGCACCGGAGATCAAGGCGATGATATCGGGACATCTGCCCGGTCGTACCTACGCCAGGTCTCGGCATGGCGTCGCATGACGAGGATGTCGGTGGACCAACAGGGCTTGACCCTGTATCAACACCTCACGGACAAGGCGTGGATCGATGCAGAACGCTTGGATGTCGATAGACTGGCGACCAAGGAAGGTGTGGATCAAGGACCGATACCTCGATGTGCAGGTGACGCAGATAGGCCGAAGCCTGTCAGGCTTCTTCCGTGGCCTTCATAGAAAGGCCAACCAGTCGGTGCGGGACTACATGGCGGAGTTCGACCGAGCATTCGCCCGATTGGGCGAAGTGGGATGCCATCTACCTGATGTGGCAGCAGCGTGGGTTTTCGTAGACAGGATGGGACTTGAAGAACAAGCGGAGTTGAACCTCTTAGCCTCGGTGGGGAACCAGTACTCGTTGAAGTCATTGCAGCAAGCAGCTATCGTACATGACAGAGGCCTCCGCAAACCTTGGGAAACCCAGAACCGAGCTCCCCGCAAAGAGTGGACCCCGAAGAAAGCCTTTACCGCGAACATGGCAGCCATCGATGAGGAAGGTCCCGACGATGGCGCCGAAGACGAGTTCCTCCTGGATCAGGACAGTCATGACTGTGTTTCGGAAGATGTTGCGGAAAACCTCTACCATGCGTACATGACACATGAAACGGCCAAGGCCAAATACCGCGAAAACATGAAACTTCGAGGAAGCGATCCCAACTCTTTGAAACAGTTGGCCATGGACAAACTCCGCGTGGCTAAGTCGAAGAGCTTCTGTGCAGGATGTAGACGTAGAGGACATTGGCACAAAGACGCGGAATGTCCTTTGAACAAGGGCACCACCAATGGAAACGGCTCAGGCACTGCTACGACGACCCCGCCAAAGGAGACGGTGAAGCCCAGCTATCCTTGCCACGTGGTTCATGTCACGTGGGAGATCACCGGCGGCCCCCCGCAGGAACTTCTAGCTATCACAGATACAGCGTGTTCTCGATCCGTTGCAGGGGCCGGATGGATCGACCTCTACCTGACTGAGGCACGCCGCCTCGGCTGTGAACCTATGTTCGTGCAGTGCGGAGAAGCTTTTCGTTTCGGGGCTTCAAGGGTTTTCACGGCGACCTACGGTGTGATCTTGTGTTTCGAGCTCGGGAGCAAGAAGGTCTGTCTTAAAGTCGCAGTCGTCAATGGTGAAGTTCCACTTCTTGTATCGAGGCCAGCCTTAGGCAAGATGGGAATGATCATCGACGTAGAGAACAATTCCGCCTCGTTCCGTGTGCTGGATGTACGCGACATGGCACTCCAGATCACCGATACAGGCCATCCTGCCTTTCCTGTACATCCTGCGGTCATTCCGAAGTCATCCGCAGCCGCTCCGAATTGGGAGTCGACTGAGATCAAGATCTTCTCGCTGAATGAGCAATACATGGCATGCACCGCGGGGCTATCTTCGGTTTCGGAATTGAGCACTTCAGAAAGTCGGATTGATGACAGGGACGTCGGTTGCTCTACTAGCTGGATGGTGAGTTCACAGGTTTTCGACTCGACCGCAAGCCCCACTTCAGACCCTCACGAAGATCATTCAGGTAAGAAAACCAACTTTGAGTACATGTTCTACCCTAAGAAGATCGGCAGCGCCGCAAAGAATCACTTTCTCGATGAGAAGTTCAATCCCGAAACCTTCGCAACATGGTGGTCCTCAACAAAGATTTCGAATGACTTCTGGGTGGAGAACGAAGAACTACTTGTACGTGTTCATGTAGTGCCAAGGAGATCTTTCTTTAGTCCTCTTCATTGGAGAACAACTGATGTACCCCGTAAACACTCTCTCCTTCGAAGCCTTGGAGCTGTGCGCACGGTCCATGCGATCTCTTGTAAGACCATGCGAGAGTTTCCAGCTACACACGGCATGTGGGAGAATGACAGTGACGATACGCAGTTGCCGATGCTTTGGGTCGGCAGGACTGTCTTTCGTAGACGAAGGCTGATGCCCGCCCCTTCTTCGTGCTCCTTGCAACCTCGCGATGGCACTCAGGTCCGACTTGCTGACGGCCCCGATGGTTTCGCGACCAAAGACTCTCTCCGAGTTCACGAAGGCCGAGCTGATCGAGGAAGCCACGGCCCGGAACCTGTGGTTCCATCCGACGTGGACGGTGACAGAAATCCGGTCCCTGATCCAGGAAGACCGGAGGAACCCCTCGGGCAACCACCCAGCGGACGCCGGGATGAGCAAGCTCACCCTGGAACAGCTGAAGGAGAGAGCCATGGAGAAAGGGTACCACCTCCCGCCGTACGCCACCAAGGGCACGATCATGCGCATCCTACGAGACCAGGCGGGAATGGGCCCTCAATCGATCCTCGCCTTCGGACGGTTCAAAGGCAAGATGTTCAAGGAGACTCCGGAGAGCTATCGCACTTGGGCTCTCAAAGAGGTGACCTCTCACGCCAACCCGTCAGAGGACCTGGTGATGTTCGCCAACTGGTGGCGCGAGGAGATGCACCGATGGAGAGAGTCGCCGAATCGCAAGGTGACCCCGGACACGGAGATCTACTTGGACCCCGAGGAGCACGCGACGATTCCGTACATCGAGGACGCAACCTCCACCACGTCGTGGGACATGGTGAACCGCGAGACGGAGTACCCAGGAGCGCTTCCCAAAGCTCTCCCCGGGAGTTCGTCACTACAGGCACCCAGGACACCGCCGAGACGCAGGGGATCCGAAGCAGTGGTGGCACCAACCCCCACGACTATGGATCAGGACCTGCCGCCGGATGTGACGGACGAGGTGAAGTACCTGGAGGAGAGGCTGGCAATCCTGAAAGACCGTCACGGCCTTCCCCCGGGAAGGAACTGAACCCACAGGAGCTGTACGAGGACTACGACGAGGACTACGACGAGGTGTACTTCGAGTGCGACGAAGAAAAGGCGGACTTCCTCTCGAACCAGGCGCAAGCGACGAAGAGCAGTGAGTACCCCGGGCACGGCGATGATGAGGAGACGGACCAGGAACTGGATGTGTACGTGGAAGGCATGAAAGTCCCGGACGTCTTCTACCAAACCAATATGAACTCTGGAGGCAGTGGGGACGTAGTCCAACGTGAGCCCCCTGGAGTAAGCAGACGACAACGTGTTCGAGACTGCGAGGAGTGTGCCAAGGACAAGATGAAGAACAAAGCCTTCGACTACAGCGACCTCCTCACCGTGGTACGCCTTCTTCCTCTTCGCAGATTACGCACCGGGAAAGCGCTGAAGCGAGGAGGCGGTCTTCCTTTTCACTACTTCATTGCCGGAATGTACACCCACGGACCCTTCGTCGGAGTGACCAAGAGCGGGAAGGAGCTTCCATGGACGATCAAGTACATCAACTCCTTTGTTAGGGCCCAAGGTGTGGGGGAGTGGACGTCCTTTGCGATCTTCCGCAACACGGCGACCGAGTGCCACACCGACACCCACAACATGGCCGGCACCCACATCAAGACGGTGAGCTTCGGCGAGTTCACAGGAGGCGAACTGTGGATTCATGGAGAAGCTCCAGAAGGGCAAGGTGGGAGAACAGTGAGCCGACAAGGCCCAGACGGAGAACAGCGGCTTGGCTACATCGTTGACACTAAGGAGAAGGTCTTCAGCTTCGACGGGAAGGCGCTGCACGCAACGCAACCCTGGGAAGGCGAACGATGGGCTTTGTCTTGCTACACGACCAGGGGCTACACCAAAGGCACGATCGAGATGCGAGATGAACTACGTGAACTACGTTTTCCGTTGCGAGGGATCCCCATCTACGATGAGCCAGGACAATCAAAAGGAGACGCCAAGGATCGATCCTACAGGCCACCAAAGAGCATCAGGAAGGGCCTGTGGAAGAAGGCTTCCAGGCTGGCGGCTTTGACTGCGTGGTGTACGGCGGCGGCTTCTACATGTGTGTATGAAGAATATCCCCTTGGACGAGGACAAGGAGCTGTTTCTCTTTTCGAGATTGGCGGCTACGAGAAGACCATCGAGATCACGGACCTCGACTACCTCGTTGCGGAACCCTACGCCTACGACTTCAACGCTGAGGACAATCGATCCGAACTTCACCCACACGTCGTGCGGGATACCATCGAGGAAATGAAACCCGCCGTACTTTGGATTCACGCCCCGAAGATCGAGGACCTCCTGCCGGCTATCTCGGAGCATCTATGCACTCAAGTAGATCGCGGAGGCCAACTTGTCATTGAGGCTCCTCCTGGGCACCCCTGTTGGACCCGGAAAGAGATCAAAGACCTACTGGAGCGCTACGACAACCGGTGGAGCCAGCGACGGGGAGAACCTCATCTCTGGAGGATCAACGACGAGTACGAGAACACCATCCACCACGACCCCAAGGAGGACCTCCCTGAGTTCCTCAACTACATGGTGAAGCATGAGACCAGAGAAGGGGACGAGGACAATGAGGAAAAGATCAAGCGCGGCAGTGAGGGCATCACCTTTGAGCAGGCCACCAAGATCGCACCAGAAGTACGTTCCTCGCTCCGACGACTACACCAGAATTTGGGACACCCCTCCAACACCGACCTCGCGAGACACCTACGCCTGGCAGGGGCAGATCCTACAGTCGTCGAGGCCACAAAGAAGATTCGGTGTCAAGTGTGTTCGAGGCACCAACGAGCCGCCTCTGCAAAGCCCGCCAGTTTACCCAATATGCTGGATTTCAACCAACTCGTGGCGGTGGATGCGTTCTACGTCTACGACGTCAATGGAGTGAAGGTGGAGCTGATGATGGTGGTCGATGTCGGGACAGGATTCATCGCTACGGGCCACCTCCAAGGCCACTCGACGAGCACCATGGAAGCTTCCTTTTGCTCCATCTGGAGCAATACCTTCGGAGCTCCGGGAACTATGATCGTTGATCTCGAATCCGGGCTTCAAGCGGGACTTGGGAGATACAGCGAATGGCATGGAACCCGGATCAGGCCGATCGCCGGACAGGCGCACTGGCAGAACGGAACTGTGGAAAGGGCTATCAGAACATGGAAAGAGATCTGGGTCAAGCTTGTGGACACCCATTCCGCCACGCATGAGGAGACCGACATGGTCGTCACTTCTGTGAACGCGGCTATGAACACCCTACGTCGGGATGCTGGTTTCAGTCCCGCACAGGCCGTCTGGGGGAGGAATCCACAACTACCAGATGAAGTTCACAACGGACCTCAAGATGAGCACGTTGAGCACATTATTACCCACGACCGAATGAGGGCCAGGGAGCATTCAATTCGTTCTGCTGCCAAGGAAGCATATTTCAGGTGCCACAACGACTCCCGCATCCGCAAAGGGCTTCTACAACGTTCCAGAGTCGCAGGACCAGACCTACAAGTTGGATCCCACGTCCTGTTCTACAGAAAACCAAAGGGAAACAAGAATTGGGCCTGGCACGGGCCCGGTGTCGTGATTGGAAAGGAAGGACCTAATTTGTGGGTCTCCTTCGCCGGGCGATGCCATCTCGCTGCTCCGGAACACGTGAGGATGGCAACCGGGGAGGAATTGGGAGAAGCCTTCACCTTGAGAGCGACGCAACATGATCTACAACGACTTCTGGAACAGGACTTCGCCGACGAGGGCATCTACGAGCAGGAGGACGAGGAGATGGAGGAAGATCCTGTCCTACCCCCCGGAGATGACGAAGCAGAACCTGAACAGGAACGCGGAGAAGGCAGTCGGAGGAAACAACCTGAGGCTATCCAGCCTCCTGTGGTGAAACGACATCGTACCAAAGGGCCCCAGGATCCTTCCCAAGTACCAGCCGCGAACGAGACCTACATGATGAAGCTGGCAAAGACTCCCCGTGGAAGGGAGAAGGCCTTGGAGAAGGAAATCCCTTGGAGCCTCATACCACCCGAGCAGCAGGAGAACTTCCGACAAGCGGAGTGGAAGCAATGGACGGAACATGTGGAGCACGACGCACTTGAGCCCCTCTCTGTGACTGAGAGCCGAGAGATCACCAAGACCAAGCCCGGCCGTATACTGGGCAGCCGTTTTGCCTACCGTGACAAGCTGTGGTCCAGGAGGAGAGCTCAACCTGATGTGGGATGGAAGCCTAAAGCTAGACTGGTGATCGGGGGCCACCGCGACCCCGACCTCACAGAGGGATTGGCGACGCACGCACCAACGATATCGAGGCAGGGCATCCACCTTCTACTCCAGATCCTCGCATCGAACTTGTCCAAAGGTTGGAGAGGATTTGCCGGAGATGTCACGGCGGCGTTCCTGTGCGGAGAAGACCTGTCCCGTGAGTTGTACTTGAGACAGCCTCGCACTGGACTCGGGAACCTACATCCAGAGCAGCTCCTGAGGATCAAGAAGCCCATTTTCGGGTTGGTGGATTCCCCAGCTGCGTGGTGGAACAAGTTCCAGAAGGTCGTCAAGAAGCTGCGGATCCGAGACGAGAACGATGAGTGGGTGGTCGTGCAGAGCACTTTGGATCACTGCATTTTCATGGTTCAGCGCGTGAGAGGACGTGACGAGCAAGGCGAACTTCTACTCGATCCGCCTGCGGCCTACCTTGGGGTGCACGTCGACGATGTTCTACTAGTCGGAGAAGGCGGACTATGTGATCTGCTGAAGAAAGAGCTGAGCGCGCAGTTCCCTATCCAGGACTGGGAGGCGGACAAGTTCGACTATGTGGGATCCTACATAGAGATCCTCCCCGACTGTGTCAAGATCTCCCAGGCGAGCTACGCGAGTACTAGGCTTTTCGAGATTGAGACCGCCCAGGATATCCCCGACCACTTCGAGGCAACCGAGGTCCAGAAGCACGACAACCAATCTCTCATCGGGGCCTTATCCTGGATGGCCTGTCAAACTAGACCCGATCTACAAGTCGGAGTGAGTATGAGCCAACAAAGACAGAAAGCCCCCACCGTTGGAGACGTCAAGTTTACCAACCAGTTGGCACGAAGAGCCGCTGAACACCGAGAACAAGGACTCGTCTTCTACCCGGTCGACCTGGACTCTGCAGTGCTCCTCTGCTACCACGACGCCGGGTGGGCCAATGCACCGCAGTCCCAGGAAGATCCGTACTACCAGTTGACCACAGAGGAGGACCAACAAGGACTCATTCTGGACGGCCCCTACGCGAGGAAGGATGCCAAGACAAAGAAGGCGAACTCCACGATTGCCTCCCAATTGGGTGGCGTCTACATCCTTGCGAACAAGGCGATCTTGCGAGGCGAGGCCTACCATGGAAGTATCCTTGACTGGAAAAGTGGAGCGTGCGAGCGTGTGTGCCGGTCAACCTTCGCGGCTGAAACAATGGCCTGTTGCAATGCCACCGAGACGGGCGACTTCATCACGAGATTCCTGGAGACCCTCCTCACTGGAAGGTTAGCCAGAAAGACTTCGAGATTTGAGATGAGGTTCCTGAGTGACTGTAGGAGCCTGTACGATCATCTGACTCGGGACGGAGTCCCGAGAGTGCCTACAAGCAAGCGCCTAGCTATCGATCTTGCCGGAATTCGCAAGCCCGTTGAGGCTGACTTTCAAAGAAGGGGGCGAGAAAACTCTTTGTATAGAACCTAGTTCGGAACCAGTGTAAAGCTTGAAAGGTTGCGAACTAGCCCCAGACCTCGCTGCGACCGGAGGCACATGAGTTTGCTCGAGCAGCCGAAAAGCCGAGCGATTTTGGCGAGGCCCACGGGGTGTGGCGTCTTGACTTCTAGTTCTAAACTAAACCCTACACCCAAACCCTTACTGAAATTCATAGTAAAAATACTGGTAATAATGATAACAAAAAACAATGACAACAAAAACAGTGATAATAACAAAAGCACTCAACATGAATATAGTAGTAGCGAGAACAAAAATGATCGTGATAAATAATAGCAAGAATAGTGACGATAAAAGTACTACTTCTACCAATAATAGCAATAATAAGCTAAAAGACTACTACTACCAATAATGGCAATAATAAGCTAAAAAACTACTAATAATAATAACAATAATTTAAACTGAGATAAGTCACTCAACCACCGGGTCGACCAGCAGAGAAGTGAAGCAGGACAGGAAGCATGTGGTCCTCAGGTGAATCGTATCCCTAAGGGTCCAAGTGCCCACATAGTAGGGTTTCAAGGATTTGGGGACCTAAAACCCTACTATTTTGGGACTTGGACCCTCTGGGTATTGTAACTCCAGAAAGTTGGAATATGGAATAATGGCAGGATCCCCTATAATTTACCTTAAAGGGACTATGATAATGATATTCCAACTTTCTGGCTTCTACTGTATGGTAGTTCAGCGTATGGTGGGAGCCAGGGTTGAGTGTTTAGGGTTTATCCTCATGCCCGTAAGGTAAAGTCTATAGGTATTCCTAGAATCCTCGAACTAGTCCTCTACTCCAACTTTCTGAACTTCATTTTAACGGAGTTTGGGGTTTTGGTCGAGAACCTTAGAGCCAGAACCTCAACCAACAATGCCCCGGTTAGGGTCCCTATTGTCAGAAAGATGCACACTTTGCTTGAGTCCGGGTTCTAGATTTGTAGGATTGTAGGACTTTAGCTTCAGAAACTTAGGAACCCACATATGCGCACGAGATACCAGGATTCTTTTGATATGGTCTTGCAAATGAAGTGTAGAAGTACCCCTGGCTTGAAGAAACTCTCATATGGCCGACCTCGCGTAGCCTAAATTACGCGCATATGCCTTAAACCCTTAACCGTAGACCTTACTAGATAAGGACCAGTGTTGGCTTTTTACGGGTTCCGGTCTTCGGGATTAGGGTATAAAATTACATGAAGCTGTTGATCCGTTTTGCGCGTCAGGGCTCTCGCGGATGCACCAAGCCCGGAACCCTAAACTCTAAACCCGTACCTTTTAGTATAGATTGTGTTGGCAACCCCCGTGAGGCTTCAATACCGCAGAGGCAACTATGCTCCGACCTTGCTGCCGAATAACCTCAGAAACTGAAACATCCCTTAGTTAAGGAATATGCATTAAATCATATTAGGCGTCCTACTATAGCTTCTGGCATATTCCTGAATTAGTTAAGGGATACTGGAGCCTTAGTTGCTGAGTTCATAAGCCCCCAAAGATGTATATTTTCAGCCTTTTAGTGGGTAATATGATCACAAAAAGTGTAAAGTGTATCCACTCAGCTACTAAGGAGCCCCTGGAAACTCGGATTAAGGAACATACGGTTGATGATATAAATCCTGCATTACCCTTAGAAGGAATATACCGTAGTTCCCATAGTTTAGAGTCCTTAGGGTCATGCAGGATTTATACCATCAACCGTACCTTAATCCCCATTAATGAACCCAGCCTTGAAGGCCCCAAAAGTCACCAGAAAACCCAAGGGCCAGTGAAAAAGAAAGTTTCCGTAGACCCAAGTACTTGAATTTCATATGCTCTCCGAAAGAGTAACCTACATAACTAGGGGCCTCTTAATAATTAGAATAGGGTTTTGGGGTAGAATATACTATAGAATATAATCAGGAACCCTCCCCCCAAAAAATCGTATAGGTAATAGTATCCCATATAAACCACTTTAAGGATCTCTTTGAAGGAACCCGCAACATGCTATCCTAAACCCGATTATATGCTTAATTAGCGCAACTTTCCCTAGACTCAACGGGGAAAAGGAGGACCCTTAATGGGGACCCCTACCCTTTAATGGGCTATAAGCTGGGTATATAATAGCTATATTAAGGGTGTGTGCCTAGGGGTCCTTATTACGAGTCCCTCCTTTTACCCTTGGATCAACCCTAAACCACAAGACCGTAACTCTATAAACCTTGAGCAGAGAGACCTAAACCCGAGACTGAAGCAAGCCCTAAGGCTCCATGTACCCATATAGTATATACTTAGGCCTTAAAGGGGTTCTTAGGGCTCATTATTCTGAGGGGACTTGGGGCTTCTTAGGGCTCCCTCAAGGGCTCCCTAAGGGGTTTAGGGTTTAGCGCTTAGGTTTAGGGTTTAGGGTTTAGGGTATAAGTCTGTGGGAACTTGGGGCTTCTTAGCATGTAAGTAAGGCTCCTTAAAGTAAAGGGATCCTTGATGTCAAGGTCCTACAAAATTAGGGAATCTCAAAATTGAGGATTTCTGAGACCCCAAAGAGAGCCAAGTGCTCTGTCTAGGAGATTCCGGACCCTCCTAATGAGATACCCGGACCCTTAGGAGGACGTAAGTAAGGTTCCTTAAACTAGGATGCCCAGCAACCTAGGAATAAAAAGGGCTCCCTTTTGGTATCGGGCAACCTTATCAGGAACCTGGGGCTACAAAAGGGGAATAAGGGTACTACTGGGCATCCTAGGAAACGGAATCCTTAAGGGGTTCTATAACGGATCCGTAAGGGTTTAGTTTTCTAAGGATCATGGGGACTTACTAAGTAAGGACATAAGCCCCTTGATTAGGAATATAAGTAGCTATAAGTATAGTTACGCCATTTGTGGCCCCAGCTGCTAAGTGACATGACCCTTTAGCTGGGATAGGAGAGGCACTGATGCTTGTAGTCGAGGGCAGCCACTTCGCCTGCGTCCCGTGTTTGCGGCCTACTCCTTCCTGGCAAGAACTGCAGAAACTACTTCATTGAATCTCGCAACATGGATCCATACCTAGATGCTTTGATACTACCCCTAACGGTCCAAAGGACCCAATAATTAGGTACTTGGGTTTAGGATCGGATAGTAGTTATGTAGCTCAATATTTGCGAGCGTATATGATTATATAGGTACTTGGACCCTTGGGGTATTATTTGCTTTATGTTGCCTGGTTTGCTTGTGACCTGGTCCGAAAATGGCTTGCCCAGAAGTGCTACTGTTGATGATATAAACCCTGCATTACCCACAATAAGGATTATGCCATAATTCCCTTAGTTTAGGGTCCTTAAGGTAATGCAGGATTTATATCATCAACCGTACCGGAGTTCAAAACCGTCTATGCTGACTCGAATGACGATTCATGTGTTGCCGCACAAGGATCGGGATTGCGAGATTTTGACTCAGCGGAGACGGAAAGAAGTAATATAATCTCGACCCAAGAGTAACCTAGGAAGAAAAAGGGTGCCCTTTTTGGTTTAAAAGGAGCTTGTAAGGGAACCTGAGCCCCAGAAAAAGGGAATAAGGACCTACTCTAGGTCCTAGAATAGGGTAAAAGCCAGAAAGTTGGAACATGATTATCCTAAACCCTTTATGGTAAATTATAGGGTATCCTACCCTGAAACCATATTCCAACTTTCTGGAGTTTCCTCTAATATCATAGGGTCCATACGAGTAGCATAAGCTTTTCCGGTCGGATGGCCAAGCTGCGGCGTAAATGAGGGTTTAGGGGTTTAGGGTTTAGGGGTTTAGGGTTTAGGATTTAGGGTTTAGGGATTTGGGGTTTAGGGCTTAGGGTTTAGGGTTTAGGGTTTAGGCACTTCTGATGCTCAGCTGCTACTTGAGAAGGAATCTGAAGTCTCCCCTCTCCGTGTTTCTACAGAGTCGTCTTCCGACGATTCCTGGTTCATTGTTGGGATAGGGATAAAAATGTACATTTCTATTCCTTATTGGGTTTAAGTACCCATAAAAATGTAAAATGTTACCCAACTATGACAAAGATTCAGAGTCGCCGGCTGAAGTCGTGAGCAAGCGAAGCGATGTGCAGCATCTGCGCGATCGGTGGAGAGGTTTCCTAGTTCATGGTTGGGAAAGGATTAAAAAGTGACATATTTATTCCTTATCTAGGATACGCAGTAACCTAAGAATAAAAAGGCCTCTCTTTTTGGTATTGGGTAACTTTATAAGGAACCTAGGACTACAAAATGGGAATAAGGGTACTACTGGGCATCCTAGAAAACTTACATATTTATTCCTTAGTGGTTTTAAGTACCCATAAAAATGTAAAATGATAATTACCCAACTATGACAAAGTTTCCCTGCCCGCACCCCACAACGCCGTAAAATTCGGCCGACTTGGCGAGACCGCTCGTTCCCATCCACCCACTGCGCAAACAAGCCCATCTCTTCGCTGAAGACGATCTCCTGGATTTTCTCGTTGAAAACGTCCACATCTGAGATCTTCGCCATGATCATCTCCTTGTCAGCTAGAGATGAGGATGTGCACTGCCTGACGTCTAACAACGCAAGCCTGTCGTAGTTCTGATCTACAACAGCCTGCGACCGCACCTGTATTCGAGGTTGAATACCCAGCACACTCGCCTCGAATATCTCTGCAACACACCATGCCCGGTAAAGCACATCGAAGGCATCATCGACGACGACGAGCTGCGTGAAACCCGCCACCTCTAGCGCTAGGTGTGTCATCATGTCATCGAACTTGTTGAGTTCACACCTTGCGTCAGTGTGGCTAAACACCTTCTCCACTTGACAGCTGCAAAGCTGGAATGCATCACCAGTAACTGAGTCATACCGCCTCCTATCCCAAGCGGTCCACTCAGCCGTCCCTTGTGGCGGTTCGGGCCCGAAGCCAGCACAAATACTGGCATGCTGGTTGACGCAAAACGCGCAAACCCAGTATGTCGTCTCCAGCTTGCCGACCAATTTCGCCCGGACCTGTTCAAAGCCTGATTTCGTGGCAATCTTGTCCGCAACCTTCTTGTAAGCAGCTCGCCCCAAAGCATCCGCCAGGATTGCGGCAACGAGACTTCCAAAGCCATTGCTCCAGTTGTGCGTGACCATGATTTGAGCCGTTGTCTCTGTGCTGGACCATAGTGTTGCCAGGGCAAATCCATCATGCCCATCTCGGGATTTCGGGATGATCGCCCGGCGGACCACATCATTCGTCAAGGAGCGTCGGGGATCAAATCCTGGCATCACCTGACCACCGAGAAGTTCTTCCCAGAAGCACAGAAGCGCGCTCAGGCGAATCCCTCGGCTTGCTAGTTGCTTCACCACCTCGTCGTAGACTTCGTTTTCCTTAGTTGCTGAGTTCAGAAGCCCGGAGCGAGTGTAGACTTTAAGTTTAATTTTATAAAGAGACAGAGACTATTATCGCCTAAAGTGCAAAGCATTCCCACTCAGCTACGGAGTTTCCGTCGAGGTGAGCAGATTTGACATAGAGATCAATCCTCGTGTGAGTGTGTTTTCAGACTCCAGGTCACCATCCGGTGGCCTTCCCTGCCAGAGAATCCCAGACAGAAGGCCCAAGCCTAGTGAATTCACCACCCAGTCCTGGTTCATTGTTGGGATAGGAATAAAAATGTACATGTTTATTCCTTATTCGGTTTTCAGTACCCATAAAAATGTAAAATGTTACCCAACTATGACAAAGAGTCAATATGAATGATCAGTAGAACAACAAAGGTTCTGTGTTGCACTAGCAGATACTTCTCCTCCGTCTCGGGGCCAAATTCGGCAAGAAGGGACAATGCAGAGAGCACACCATAGCAACACATCGTCAATCCTAGTATTGCCTGGTTCATTGTTGGGATAGGAATAAAAATGTACATGTCTATTCCTTATTGGGTTTAAGTACCCATAAAAATGTGAAATGTTACCCAACTATGACAACTATGACAAAGTTGCGCAGATCAGCATTTCCATGCCGAGGACTTGCGCGGCCCAGATCGCCTGTTTCCTTGGAGGCCCTCGAAACCCTAAACCCTAATCCCTAAACCCCTAAACAGCTAAACCCCTAAACCCCTAACCCCTAAACCCCTAAACCCCTAAACCCCTAAACCCTAAACCACTAAACCCCTAAACCCTAAACCCCCAAACCCTGAACCCTAAACCCTGAACCCTAAACCGTGTCCTTGGAGGCCCTCGGACGCGCTTCGCCTCCTGAAGAAGAAGCTGCAAGCTGCCCACCAGGATCTTGCATGTCAGTGTCGTGTAGGCAACCCATACCGTGCAGAGAACCTTAGTTGCTGACTTCAGCCTGTGGCCCAAAAGTGTACACTTTCAGCTTTATAGTGGGTAATATTATCCCCAAAACGTGTAAAGTGTATCCACTCGGCTACTAAGGAACGATTAAGCTGACAAGGATTACCGGCCACGTCTTCTTCAGGTCTCGGTCACAAGTGTGTCGGATTTGCCAGCTGCAACACATGACCAGTATCCATGTATTCGAACCAAAGGTCGAACAACAGGTTCCCCCATCCACACTGGAACGGATTGCCATCATTCGCAACTGCAATAGATGGAGAGTCCAGCCAAGCGCAACACTCTGCACTCCCCAACCGAACTGAAACACAGAGAACGAGTAGGCAGTGGCCCTGAGGTCAAAACATATGCCTGCGACCTGCTGTGCCGCTGCCGCAAACCAAAATGCAAACATGCCCCACTTCGCATCATGTGCGTAAGTCGAACGTGGGTGCGTTCTCAGCATGGAGCAAAGCCAGATCAGGGAGAGCAGCAGGAACGACAGTGTCTGCTGGCCGTAAGATTCCTGACCGGTGAGTTGAGAATCGGATATGCCCAAACCACGCATGGATAGCCGGCGAGGAGGGCAGAGAGCAAGGTAAAGAAGACGCAAAGCAGGATCGTGCAATGCCAGGAGCCGCGCCCACCAGCAGAAGAGCCAGGGACGTGCAGGACTCCAAAGCCAAGTCCCAGCCAGGCACCCAGATCGAAGTTTCCATGTAGCAGTACAGTGCACAAGCGGAGCAGTACAGCGCAGAAGGCCAGCAGGACCAAAAGTACACTGCAATAAACCACGCGCCACTTCCATTCAAAGTCCGCGCCCATTGCATGCACAGGACATGCTGCACTTAAAAGCCTCTGCTAACCTGATATCTGCTTCCCACCTTACTTGCCATGTAGGGTTTAGGGTTTACGAGTTAGGGTTTAGAGTTTGGGGTTTAGGGCTTAAGGTTTAAGGGTTTAGGGTTTGGGTTTTCGGGGGTACCTCTAACGGTCAAAGGTTTCCCATACTACTCCCTACCATGTACCCATATGGTATATACTTAGGCCTTAAAGTACCTCTATAGGGACCTTTAAGGCTCAAGTATCTATTTCTAAAGCTACCACCTTTGGGACTACTACGCCGCAAACCACCCTTGACCTGTTAGAAATCATAGACAGAGCCCTATACCTATATCCCTTAATAGGAATTATTTAAGAAGGTCTGTTTATTCTTTTGGGGGAACCATGAAAAAGGACAAGGCTGCCGCAACCCCGATCCGAATCTCCTACGGGCCAAGGCTCGAGACAGCAACAAAAAAGACCCTGAACAGCTTAGGTACGGCCCCCATACAGTAAGAGTCTATAATAGGGCTACTGTTAAGGTCTTACTATACCTATATTATGAATATTATTCCACTATTGCTGAGTGGGGGCCGTACCCAATGAATAGCCCAAAAAGTAGACCCACAAGGTGCCACAAGGGCTTTGGGTATAGGGTTTTGGTTGCTGAGTTCATAAGCCCCCAAAAGTGTACACTTTTAGTTTTATTCCCAAAAAGTAGACCCAAGAGTAACCTAGGAAAAAAAGGGTGCCCTTTTTGGTTTGCAAGTGCTTGTACGGGAACCTGAACCCTAAATAAGGGAATAGGGGCCTACTCTAGGTCCTGGTTTAGGGCTTTAGGGGTTTAAGATGATTTAGGGTTCAAGGGCTTAGAGGATCTATAAAGGCCCTAGAAATACTATAAGGTTTAGGTTTTTAAGGCTCCCCGGAGACTCCCATATCCCTTCATTAAATGAGGAATATACCTCAGATTATGGATCCCTACTATGACCCCTTAAAAGAACCCTTAAAGGAGCGCTTACAGGAACCCTATTTAGGGCACCCAGAGACTCCGATAGCCCTTAATTAGGGAATATACCTTAAAGCATATTACGGATCCTACTAGAAATTGACGTAAATATTCCTGAGTTAACGGATATTGGAGTCTCTGGTGGGGCCTTCAAGTTATGCTTCGAGAGATACTCGCGAATTAAGGAGTTGTGGACGTGCGATGAAGCTTCAGAACATGAAAGCTTCAACGCGAAGGACCGGTTCCGGCTGGGGGTTAGGGGTTAATAGGGATTAGGGTTTGGGGATCCTAGACCCTCAACCCTATCTATCTATCTATATATATATGTGTGTATACATATATATATATATATGTATGTATGTATATATATATATATATAAAGGATTTCGGGATGGGGTCCGGGCTAATATCTAGACACCCCCCTCGCCCTCGCCACAAACTACCCTTTATTATCGCCCCGACTTACCTGTCAATGAGGAATATCAGAGCCCTTGAGGGTCGGGCCAGTTTAGGGTGCTGTATGGGTTTCAGGTTTAGGCGTCATCTAGGTTTGTTAATGTAGACCCCTGATGAATGAAGCCCTTGTCTCCTTTTGATTGAAGGCCTTAGTATTCGGTTTTTGTTACATCAGTGGAAAAATCACTAGTCAGGACTACATTATGGGCTTACAGTATCAAAACTGGACTGTGACGTTCAGACTTCGAAGTCGTTGTTGGGGAATTCGGGTTCAGGATTTTCCCTTGAAGGGTGTTGGGCTGTTGAGGTTTGTGGCCTTGGTGTTCGGGTTTTAGGTTGGAGAGCTTCTTGATGTCGGGGCATGAGGGCCCGGAGTGAATGGACTCAGAGTTCCATTGAAGGGTTCCTGTTAGGGACCTATAAGGAGGAGCTTATATAAGCTACATAAAGGACTATGGGGCTTAGTCTTTACTTGGACCCCAAAATAACCTTCCTCTTTACGGCAACTTATTTTGATTTCTAGATACAAGTCCTTAAATAAGGTAGGTTATTTGGGGTGAAGATTAATGCAACTAATTGCTAGCCGAGGCGGGGTCGCTTAGTGATAGCCAGAGATAGACGTCTACTACAGGGCCCAAAAAAAGCACATAAGCCATAATTAGGATAGGGACATCCCTATAACATGCTTATGCTTATGTGCTTTTGGGGTTTCTAATACTAAGCCCATTTATTCCATGTTAGAGTCAGTGATCACATTGTGATCAAATGCCCACTAGCACTTTCATTCTAGCAGGCATTAACCCCCAAAGCAGACTACCCCACTGAGAGGATCAGTAGGTTGTAGACGTCTAAACACGTTGACCCTAATTAGGGTATGCAGAATTCAAGAAGCCTCGAAGCCGTACTTCCCCTCACTACTTGGAGGGTCGGGGTACTTAGTAAGCAGCTGCTTTACAGTTATAGGTATCATAACCCGAACTGGGAACCCTGGTAGGGCACTTATAACTCTACTGTTACCTACTTACCAAGTCCCCAGACCCTCCAAGCAGGGCGACCACGGTCTAGCCAACAAGACACCCCAAACGCGCACAGCATGTGGGTCATAGGCTTAGGGTTTCTTGGGATTTCGAACGGTTCAGAGTCTGGTAGGGCTGAGGCTAGGATCTGTGATACCAGCGACCTTGGATGCTGGCAGACGGCAAACCCCAAACCCTGAACCCTTCCTAGACCCCCCAACTACCCTTTATTGTAGCCCCAATTATCTCTTAATGAGCCCTTGAAAGGGTACTTGGGGGGTCCTGGTTAACCCTAGAGCCTAAAGCCCTGAACCCTGATAACCTAAAGCCTGATCCCTCGACCCTACACCCTGAATCCTAAACCCTGAACCTGCGCCCGAAACACTGCTGTACCCTTAGAACCATATTAAAAATCATGTTCTTAATATTCTCTTGGCTTTTATATGAACAAAAGTTTAAAAGTAACCGTCATTCTCAAGGAGAGGAGACTATAGACAGAACCCTCAACCCGAAACCCTAAACCCCGAAACCTACCCTACGGTTGATGATATAAATCCTGCATTACCCATAATGAGGAATATACCACAATTCCCGTAGTTTAGGGTCATGAAGGTAATGCAGGATTCATATGATCATAACCCTAAACCCTGAACCCTATAGATCCCTTATAGTACCCCTATAGATCCCTTTACAGGAACCCTAGGGATTTATAGGATCAACCCAAAGGGCCCCTCTAACAAATTTGGGAAACCTCAAAATTGAGGGTTTCTGAGACCCCAAAGAGACCCAAGGACCGTCCCTAGGACATTCCGGAACCTCCTAAAGGGAACTCCAAAAAGTTGGAATATGGATTAATGGTAGGATCCCCTATAATTTACCTTAAAGGGGTTAGGAGAATCATATTCCAACTTTCTGGAGTTCCCTTTAAGGAGATACCTGGACCCTTAGGGTCAACCCCAAACCCTGAACCCTCAACCCTGAAACCTGAACCCGAAGCTGGTGGAAAGAACCCTGCCTTCGGTGAGTGCACCTGCATCGTCCACTGGGTTGTAGTGGAAGTAGTAGAGGACGAAGGCGAGGATGCTATCCTGGGGCTCAAGTTTAGGATTTATGTAGGGTTTAGGGTTTGGTATACACTCCAAAATGTAACCTACAAAACTTGTTCGCTCCTAGTACTCCGTAAAACCCAAACTGCTTACTAAGTCCCATGCTCCTTTAAGTACTCATAAACCATGCAAGATCTCACAATCTTGAAACATCCCCATCATCTTATAAGACCAAATCACCCTTGAAAGTAGGGGCCCTATACTAGCCCTAACCCTAAATGGTACGTGCAAAAAGGAACCTTAAACCCTTATAAGTGTAGATGTCGTCCTGAAGGCATAGAATGGTACGAGCCGCCTTGAGGATTAGATGTTGTAGCTCATTCAAGAAAGCCCCAACCCCTAAACCCAGACCCCAAAACCCTTAACCCCTCAACCGCTAAATCCTAAACCCGCAACAATATACCCCTGAAAGCAGCTGAACTTCATGAGATCCCTGGAGAACGAAGGTGTCTGCAAAGGCTTAGGGTTGTGTCAACAGTGAAGGGTTTGGGGTTCGGGTGTAGGGCCTACGGTGTAAAGTGCCAGCAGTTCTTTACAGGGAGTTGTGTAAAGGCTATATGTGGTTTTCCAGAGTCTTCGAAAGGCTTCATACTGTCCCCAAAAAACCTCCTGACAACGAAGGGTGCTCGCTCTTTTCAAGGCTTACGGAGACTACAAAGCAGAAACAGGGCATAAGGGAATTATGGTCCCCAAGAGTCCAAGTACCCAAATAGTAGGGTTTCAAGCTCCAGAAACCATGTACGTGGACCCTCTGAAAATGCGACCTGGAACAAACAGTTACAAATCTGGAAATGCATTTAAAAGGACTAGGTGCACCCTGAACACCCCCCTCTCACCTGATCTGACATGCCGACTGTTTCGTGTAACACCCGCATGCCCTAGGGTTTAGGGTTTAGGGTTTTAGGGTTTACGGTTTAGGGTTTAGGATAAACACTAAACCCTCAAAGACACACACCGGACCGAGGCAAGCGGCCATCAAATGCATGAGCAGCTCCTTCGTCAACTCCATAAAGTGGGAGTACTCCTTTTTGAAGTTCATCCCAAACCCTGCTTGGAGGGTCGGGGAACTTAGTAAGTGGCTATTTTCGGGACTTATAAGTACCATAACCCCAATTAGGGTCCCGTTTAAGGTACTTATAACTCCACTTACTACCTACTTACTAAGACCCCCGACCCTCCAAGTGAACCCTAGACCTCCAAAGCTCTGCTTCAATTGAACTCCAGGCAAAGAGGGCTTTAGGGGTGTAGGGCTTGAGGGTTTTAGGCTTGTCATATGGTAGTTTCCGAAAATAGGGGACCCTAGATTTAGTACCCTAAAATAGTAGGATCCTTATTTTAAGGACCCCCAAATAAGGTACCCCTAATTTTCGGAAACTCCCATATGGGAACCTGATGACTTTTGACCGTGTCTTGGTGTATAGTATGCTGCCCTGATAGCAAGGAGCCCCAAAGAAGAGTATCGTGAAGTATCAGGCTGCTGCTCTAGATCCTACATAAGTCCTAAATCCCCCGTAGCTCCCTTATGGGTCCCCAGGCATAGTAGAGGGGCTCAATACTACTTTGATCCCTTATAGGTCCCCATGCATAGTAACGGGGCCTAAAACTTTCCAATACTATTTTGAGGGTTTGGTGCTATAAAGATAGTTATAGTATTCAATGCCGCACGGCCGTGACCAGTGCAGCGGGGACAGGAAAATAGCATTTTCATACTAGCGGCTCATTTAGAAATCGACCCGTTTCGCAAGGGCTCCCAAATTCCGATTCTAGCGCGCGAGATGGGCGCCGTGTTCCCAATTATCATTTAGGCCCCTATATTAGATCCCTTGTAAATCACTACAAACACCACATAAAAATTTCAGGGGTCGGGGTCGGGGAGGGAGGGGTCGGTGTTTATCAAGGTTAGGTTTTCTCGTTCAGGGTTGTGGGTTTAAGGTTTACTACTTTGAGGGTCGGGGGACTTAGTAAGTAGTTATTTTTGTAGAGTTATAATTACCATAACCCCAATTAGGATCCCCTCTGGGGGTACTTATAACTCTACTTATTACCTACTTACTAAGTCCCCCGACCCTCCAAGTAGGTTTCGGGTTGAGCGTTTGGGGTCTGGGGCTGAAGGCCCTCTGTTTGGAAGTTGATGGCTTTAGGGTTTAGGGTTTAGGGTTTAGGGTTTGGGGTTTGGGGTTTAGGGTTTGGGGTTTAGGGTTTGGGGTTTAGGGTTTGGGGTTTAGGGTTTAGGGTTTGGGGTTTAGGGTTTAGGGTTTAGGGTTTAGATGGCTTCATGTACAATGGAGATCTCAGAACATGAGTTTTACTGATGGGTCCTGATATGGGAGTTTCCCTAAAATGGGGGGGTACCTTATTTTGGGTCCTTATAATAAGGATCCTACTACTTAGGGTACTATATTAGGGTCCCCTTTTTTGGAAACTCCCATATTGAGATGTTTGAGAGTGAATCGCCTTACGGCTAAGATCAGCAGCTCGCGCGTCCTGGATGCCCTCTAACCGCACTCCCTACCAGAGCCCAATGGACCATTATGGAAGAGCATACCGGCCTTCTGAAGGGTATCTTCGGGGCTTCCGGCAATGCAGCAATATAGGATCCTCAAGAACTTACCACTTAAGCGATGAGTACACTCCTCCTGCACGCTCATGTACCCGGAAATTCCAATATCCCTAAATTCAGGAATTAATACCTTAAATCATATTCGGGATTCTACTATAATTTAAGGTATATTCCTGAATTAAGGGATATTGGAGTCTCTAGGTACGGCGCAGTCCCGCATCGCTTTAGCACTAGATTAGATGCACGGAATTGGTTGCTGGCCGGCTAGGCTAAACATGCAAAGTCAACCCTAAACCCTAAACCCCGAACAGCTCCTGTCGGGTCGTGCCTAGGATTGTCGGGACGTGTGGGTTGTAGGTTCACATTTCGAAGGGTCTCGGCTTATTTACTTGCGGCCGGCTTAGACCCTAACCCCAGTTGGAATACTTCTGACTCAACTGATAACCTGTTTGCTAAGTCCACTGAACCTCTAAGTGTTCAACAAGCCTTACAAACATATAAAAACGCATGAACACACACAACCCAAACCCAGTTAAACATAACACACCTTAGTGTAGCCGAGGTGCCGGGCAGGTCAGCACAAACCTGTCCATGCTGTTCAAGGCTGCGGGCGTTGGGATAAAAGGCGGTGGCACAGATCCCTTGAAGGGTACCTTCAAGGGCTCTAGATGGAGTCCATAATAGGTTTAGGATCTAGGGCTGAAGGACGACCTGAACCCTTAAAGGGTTAAGGTTCACTTACCATATAGGGGTTCTCATAATGTAAGGGTATAGGGATTTAAGGTCATTTGGTCCTTTGAATGCTATGGGCATGAAAATCAGAATAGCGTTTGGACTTCTGGTGCATCGTGCTTATAAGAAGGACCCCTGCGGAAAGCATTGCCAATCACTTAGACCGATACATGAAGGTTGTTTCAAAGTCCCTATAAGCTCTGTAGGCTATATTAGCAAACCTTACGAACCGCTTGGATATGCAAACGTTACGCTTCAGGTACACCCTAAACCCCTAAACCCTGGCAGACTTTCCCTACACCTTACACCCAATATCGGGGTTTGAACGAGTCGGCTTTGTTTTGGGTGGTAGGTTGCCGGGCGTTCGATGCTTGAGGAGGGGGTTGCCTGGGAAGCTTTCAGCGAGATAAAGGCGAAGTAGCGGTGTAGGGTAGAGGGTTTATACACGGTTTAGGGATTGGGGTTTAGGGTTTAGGGTTGCGCTGTCAGAATGGACAGTAGAAGCGGCAACTTCTGGTGGCCCTGCTTCTGTGCTACTTTTATTTATGGCCTGATGTGCGTCTTCTGAACCCTCAAGCCCCAATCAGAAAGACTGAATGCCAACCCAACGCCCTAAAATTTTGCAGCCCTTGTGAACATCAGGATCATGCAGCTCTTGTCGGGAACTCCAAATACCAACAAGGGGAAGAATGGCTTTTTCGGGCTTAGGGCTTCGAAGTTTTGAATTTGGTGCTTGGGCTTTGTTTTTTGTGGTTTGGGTCTTTGGTGGGTACATTACTAACCAGGAACTTCGCTTCCCGATTTACGGATCTACTTGGACGATCATATAAGTAAGGACAGAAGTACCCGGCACAGGAAAAACAGTAGTCTTTAAGTATAGTTAGTTACCTTATTCGTAACCCTAGTTAGCCAGTACCCCTTTATGATAAGGGTAGCCTTTTTCCTACTAGGCCGTTTTCAGAAGGAGACCCCAAAGTAAACAGGGCAAAAGGCTACCAATCAGGAACCTAGTTCATCGTAGGGACCCTTTCGGGCTAGGGGGGGAGGGGGTAGGGGACTATGCTTCCTCAAATAGGCCTTATCCCTGATTATGGGCACTGCGGCCCCCTACCCCCCTCCCCTACCCCCCTAAGGGTCCTTTTGAGTTCAGGCCCCCACCACTGAAGATCCTGGTTTCACTCTCGCACTGCCTTTATACTTTATACACCCTCCCAAGTCTAACGGTTGCTTAAAAAGCACCCCGCAAAAAAAGAACAAACAGTATGCCAATCACAAACCCTAAACCCTGGGTTCAAAAACCAAAAGACCTAAACAAAAACCCAAGACCTTGCGTACTGCCCCCACTCAGTAACAGTTGAATAATATTCATATTATAGATATATTAGGACCTCAAGTGTAGCCCGATTATAGACTGTTACCGTATGGGGCCAGTACTCAACCAAGACCCCCCCAGACCACCACTCCGAAGTGAAAGATCTCCTACAGAAAGCAAAATCAAAACCCAAAGAACTACCAGGACTCCCCCAAAGGCCCTTTAATACGGTTGATGAAAAAATCCTGTATTACCTTAATAGGGCTGAACTATGATATGTTCCTTATATAGTGGGTCTTTGGGGCAGATTGGGGGGTAGATAGGGGTCTAGGCAAGCCCTAAACTGTCAGCCGTCAGCCGGACCCTTAACTTGCAAACCCAAACACAATGGCACCAGAATAAAAATACTGTGTTGTTTAAGTCTAATTTTCTCGTGGGTTTTAAATGAGCAAAAATGAAACTAGAATCCCCCTAAACCCTAAACCTGCAAACCCAAACACAATAGAACAATAGTATATGGGATCCTTTAAGGGTTCTTTTTGTGGAGGTTTCCTACTTATTCCTGAGGAGACTATAGATAGAACCACTCCAAAATAACCCTAAACCCTACGACCAAAGCCCTCCGGGGGCCTATGAGCCCAAGCCAAAGCTCGGTCTTTCCAAGTAGGACCGCGTTCCTAGGGCGTCAGGGGTGAGGGCTTTAGGGTTTAGGGGCTTTAGGGCTTAGGGGGTTTAGGGTTTTAGGGGTTTTCAGGGCTTCAGACTAAGAAGCATTAAAGTACGGTATTCCAGAACCCAACAATACAAATGAGGGGATTAGATTTCAATAATAGTATTATATGGGTGGTTGTCAAATTACGGTCCCTTTTGGGGTCCTTAGTTTAATACGGCACCTAATATTTAGGGTACCCAGAAAGGGACCATAATTTTGACAACTACCCATCAGTACCATAACCTCTTGTAGGAAACTTACAACTCTACGTATGCCTACTTACTAAATCCTCCGACCCTCCAAGCAGCAACCATGGATGAAACAAGGACCTCATATATTTCCCTAAACCCTAAACCCTAAACCCCAAACCCAAAACCCAAAACCCTAAACCCTAAACCCTAAGCCCAAAACCCTAAACCCTATAAACCCTAAACCCTAAACCCTAAACCCCCATTATAGTATTAAATAGAGACCCTCTCGGACCAGGGTGCTACAAAGTCTGCTTCAAATCGGGTTAACGGCTCGGTTGTCGGGGTGTATACACGACGGCAGCGACGATTTTTAGGGTTTAGGGTTTAGGGTTACGTGAGTCCGGTGAGCTGAGGTTGTGGCACTGGTTGAAGGATCTAGTGTTTGGGGAGTTGTAGGGCCTTGGAGCTTGTCTTGCTGTTTAGGGTGCAGGGTAGGGTGTTGGGGTTTAGGCTTGCTTAGTCTTACACATATTTGGTAGCTACGTCGGTCCTGATCCGAAGTCTTAGCATAAAGAGTCGACCCAAACCCCAAAGAGCTACAGTTAAGTTATAACGATAGAATCATCTCTGAGGCCTATCTCAGAGAGTTTCGGGTTTAGGAGGCGTTGATGGGCTGGTCTTGGCAGCAGGCTTTATGTATCTCCAAGGGTAAAAGGAGGGACCCTTAATAAGGACCCCTAGGTATATACCCTTAAAATAGCCATTATATACCCATTATATAGCCCATTATAGGGTAGGGGTCCCTCCTTTTCCCCTTTGAGTATCGTCCTGGGGCCATTCACCCGAAATTGTTTCGAATCGGCGTCGAGGAAACGACTTTAAACGCGGTTTCTTCAGGATCGGCTTGTAGGTGGTGTGAGGTTTGCGGGCTTCCGGTGACTTCATGTCTTCTTTACGGATGTTCTTGAAGCATTGCTGTGTGTGAGGCTTTGAGTGCGTGTTGTCCCGATTTCAATCGGGACGGGCTCTTGCACACCCCCCACCCCCAAAGTCACCATCCAAGGGCGGTATTAAACGTAAACCCTAAACCCAAAGTCACCATCCAAGGGGCAGTATCGATGAATGTGATGGCAAGAGAGGATGCCTTGCATGCGGATGCTCACACTTTGGAGGATCACGGGACTTAGTATGTAAGGGTCATACAGGATATAAGCACCTTAATTGGGGTCCTAAGCCCTTATAAGTATGGTTACCTTGTTTACAACCCCGGTTACACTGCTTGGAAGCATCCGGCGACTCGGCAGGTTCAGAAGATATGTGGGCCGTGGGTAGTTCTGTTAGGGTCCCCTTCTTTGAGAGACCCAGATAGGGGCCCTAATGTAGAGAACTACCCATGTGCAGGATAACCCCGGCTGCAGTAGTGCAAGGGCTTGAACTTGACAGTGTAACACTTCGGTAGGACTCTTTACAGCGATCCCAATCCCAATTGTTCGGAACTTCCTAATAGTTTTTTTATGCATGAAACATGCCTTAAACCCTACACCCTAAGCTCCCAATCCTAAATGTCCAGTCGAATCAGGTAGAAACATTAGGAAAAAGGACTCTCCATGGCAACACTAATTAGTATGCGGGCCTTATGATTAGAATGCTGTTTTAGAGTACAGTAGAAGCCAAAAAGTTGAAAACCCAATAGCGTCAATCCTGAAGAGTAATGTACAGGGAATCCCAGCACAAATTGGCCTTAATCATTGGCAATTTTTCAGGCTTTGCACTAGCCGTAGCCCGTGGACCTGACGGCGCGATGTAGTTATGAACACGATCTTCTGAAGGAAACACAAACCAGGCCGGGAAACCCGCGCAATTCAGCTGAGACAGGCTTGGGGATTTGATATAACTTAAATTATAGTAGGTACCAAATGTGATTTAAGGTATACTCCTTAACTAAGGGATATTGGAGTCTATGGGTACATGCAGCCTTGGTAAGACAGGCCAGTGCTGCTGTGGCAGGAGAGACCATCTCGAGGCGATCGCTTTCAACCTAGGAGTCTCAATCATACTTGGAGGGTCGGGGGACTTAGTAACTGGTTATTTTAAGGACTTATAAGTACCATAACCCCAATTAGGGTCCCTTTTAGGGTGCTTATAAGTCTACTTACTACCTACTTACTAAGTCCCCCGACCCTCCAAGTATCGGGGCCTGAATACTAGGAATAGGGTTCCTTTAAAGGGCTTTATCAGGGTTCCTTGAAAGGGATCTATAGTCGGGTAGTAGGGTTCTTGTAATGTAAGGGCCTGAATAATTAGAATAGGTTTATGGGGCCCACTATACCGTAATTATATCAAGGAGCCCCCAAAAACGTCTATATAGGTTAATATTTAGACCCACTATTAGGGTTTGGTGGCTTGATATCGTATACCTAGAATAAGGAACCCCTGAGGAAAGATGTTGGCAATTATGTAAGCTCGTATACTAGAGGCTTCTTGTGCTGTTTGTTGTCTTGCTCCTGTTGACTTCTCGCTTGTTGTTGCTATGGTTCCTCTGTGTGTGCTCAGTGTCCTTGCCACGGTTAAGGCCTTACTTGGAGGATCATGGGACTTAGTAAGACAAGTTGTTAGGCCTATAACGGCGATAAGTACTTATGGGTATAGCTACCTTATTGATAACCCTAGATACTACATCCCCACACCCTTCAAGCAATTCTGACCCCCCCTCTTGCAGATCCATTTCAGGAACCCTGTCTTGGTTGCTGAGTTCATAAGCCCCAAAAGTGTACACTTTCAGTTTTATAGTGGGTAATACCATCCCAAAAAGTGTAAAGTGTATCCACTCAGCTACTAAGCTGTTTAGTCGCTGGCTAAGTCCCATGAGCCTTTCCGTACTTGAGTTCGGAATTCAGGCCTCCGGGTGGTGTAGTGTTTAGGGTTTAGGGTTTAGGGTGGTAGTAGGTACCTGATTAAGAAACCCTGGGCCTACGATTCATGTAAGAAAACTCTAATAAAGGCCCGAGGTTTCTTGATCAGGTTCCTATATTATCAGTCTTTGAGATTGGAGCTGCTCAGTTGTGATGGAGAGACCTACTACAAAACCCCATAGACAAACGCGCTGAACCACATAAAACCCATGGAAACCCACATAATTCCGAGAAGCTCTTGCAGCATCTCCTAACAGCCCCCGTGGTACCCTGAAGTTGCACATGGTTGGGTCCAGAATCAATCGCTGACTTACCCATCGACACCATATCCGCAAGCAGGATATTACTCATTATAGGCATATTCTCTAGAATACCCAGTAACCTAAGAATAAAAAGGCCTCTCTTTTTGGCATTGGGTAACTTTATAACTGGGCATCCTAGTTCTTGATCCCCAATCCATGAGGGAAATCTTAGATCCCAAAGTCCTCCTCTTCATGTCCAGACCCTGGTCACCAGATGTAGGGCCTTCATAATTTCAACGGGGAAAAGGAGGGACACTTAATGGGGACCCCTACCCTATAATGGGCTATATAATGGGTATATAATGGCTATATTAAGGGTATATACCTAGGGGTCCTTAGTAAGGGTCCCTCCTTTTGCATTTGGATAATTGGAATACAATTTGGGGGTATAGCGTAGTATAAGACCCTAAACCCAATTCCTGAAACGTACCACCAATCACCAATCTGTCAGAGCGTCTTCATCCCGACCCGGGCGATTACACAAAGCGGTCCTCCATATACGCGATATCGTAGAATCAGCTTCTGTCTGCGCAAGTCTGCATACTGCTCAAGGCGATCTAGCTCTTCTTCGTCCATAAGAAGCTTCGCTACCTCATAGGGTCCTTGGAGGCATGCCTTCCACAGCACAACCTGCGAACCACCCTCTGATCCAGTGATCTTGTAGAGCGGCCCGAGATCTACGAAAGCATCGGGATTAGGGTTTAGGGTTTAGGGTTCTCTTTCGGCGACAAACCACGCGCACGAGGATAAATCCAATCTGCTTCTGGACTGGAAATGTGCGATATTATCCACTCAGAAGTCACGAGGAAGTGCGAGAGATCACTGAGGCAATCGCAACAAAGAAATCAAGGAACTGACCATCGTCATGGGACTTTGTATGGATATAAATACCTTTTCTATCGCCTACCGTACTAAGTACCACGATCTTTTGAGTAGGTGCTGTAGGTCTCGGGTCTTTGCAGGTTTGAATCAGGGACCATGCAAAGCAAAATCGAATATGGTTCAGGGTTACAGTATACGGCTGATGGACGGATTCGTGCATTCAATCTCCAGAACGAGCGATTTGCAGTGCTTTTTCTACTGAGGGCACTTGTAACTTGTAACTTTACACAAGACTTTGTCCATTGGCTGTAGGATAGAAATATCCTACGCCCGGAATCCTTAAATCCAGATCCGTAAACCCTAACGCCGCAACCCCCTCCTCCGTCAGTTTAAAGTTTAAATCCTTGGCGCCAACCCCCTAAACCCTAAACCCTAAACCCTAAACCCTAAACCCTAAACCCTAAACCCTAAACCCTAAACCCCCAAAGCCCTTACAGAAACCCTTCGAAGCCCCTCATAGATCCCTTGTGGGGCCCCTGACTTGGAGGGTCGGGGGGACTTAGTAAGTAGATCATAAGTTGAGTCAGAAGTACCCTAAAAGGGACCCTAATTGGGGTTATGGTACTTATAACTCTCTAAAATAACTACTTAGTAAGTCCCCCGACCCTCCAAGGAGTGAAAACCGCCCAACACAATGGTCAAGCAGAGCTGAGGCCCTGACGATGATCCGAAAATTCCTCAGGCTAACGCGCTTCCACGCAAAGCAAAGGGCTCTCAGGACCGATATCAAGGGGCGTGTATAATCAGAATTGGTTCGAAGTTATATACGAGCCTTAATAATTAGAATAGGGTTTTGGGGCCCCAATATACTAGAATTAGTTACACGCCAACATACAGTAGGTAAATATCAAGCGCTCTATATTATGTTCTAGAATCGTTCTGGGAGTCTAGAAGAACTTGAGGAGAAGACAGTATCCTAAAACTTCAGACATCTACTTTCGGTCGTTCTTTGCATGTGTAGGACTTAGGGTTTTAAGCTGTCAGGGGGTCGGGTTAAAGATGAAGGTGTATTGCTTGAGGGCTTATATGGCTGTGACGATCGGACACTGTACTATGGTGTTTTCTGTTTACACAAAAAGAAACTATTTGTATCCAAAACCATGAAATGTGCAAGGAAATCCGCCACTGCAAAGCGAGCTTGAACCTGAGCCGAGCCGTGATGCGGAGATCTCCCCCACCCTTTCCCCCAGACTCCAGTAAAGGCACAATGGACTCAGAATTCATTTTGTGGACCAGGTGGATCATCGATGGCGAAGAAGTGTCTGAGGAGTTGTGCGCAGGGCTCCCATGGCCTGCTCTCACAAGGCACTGCGGCTGCGGCGTGCTGGGCTGCCGCTATTTGACCCCCCCCCCCCCTCCCCCCCCTCCGTTTTTCAAACCTTCCGGCAGCCCTTTTTCAACCCCATCTCCTTTTCAACCGTCCCCAGCTCCAGAAAGACCCAGAGGAATAGGGGTCGGTACTGCCAAGGCACTGGTTTACAGCATGTGTTCTGCAAGAGACGGTTTAGGGTTTACCTTCACCCCCCAAATAACCTACAAAAAAGGAATAAGGGTACTACTGGGCATCCTAGCCAACGGGACGCCGCTGGGCTCATGTTGTCCCTTAAAGGGAACTCCAGAAAGTTGGAATATGGATTAATGGTAGGATCCCCTATAATTTACCTTAAAGGGGTTACGATAATGATATTCCAACTTTCTGGCTTCTACTGTATGCTGGCCCTCAGGCATCCTGTGTACTTGGAGGGTCGGGGGACTTAGTAAGTAGGTAGTAAGTAGACTTATAAGCACCCTAAAAGGGACCCTAATTGGGGTTATGGTACTTATAAGTCCTTAAAATAACCAGTTACTAAGTCCCCCGACCCTCCAAGTACTGTTCTGCTGGATGCTTTGCCACACAATACCAGCGATCCTACATTCTACCATTCAGGTACTTAGGACCCTATAGATAGTGGTTTTCAGATTCCAAACAACGGAGGGTTAGGTTCTTGGTTTTAATGGGCTTAGTCTTTCTGCAGGATTAAGTGGTGCAAGAGCTACTGACTAAGTCCCACGATGCTCTAGAATAAGTGATGGTGGATACCCCACCCCCCCGCCCGCCTAAATGCAACACCGGTAGACTCGAAGCGTGCAAACTAAAGTAGAAGCCCGAAATTTGGAAGCCCAATAGCCTCAATCCTTAAGACTAATGAATAGGGAAACCCGACACTATTTGGCCTTAATCTGGTTTCCAACTTTACGGGGTTCACTGTCGTGGGTATTGATTAGAAGCTGCCCCCACCCTGTAATAGTGACTATAAGGATTATAGTACGGCCCTATGAAAGTCTTCTATTATACCACTATTATAGGGTGGGGGCCCCTTCTAAGGTTGACCTCTTGGCTGCAGGGCAGAGCCTGAAAAGGTATTAACCAAGCAGAGGGGTGCCAAAAGATACCAACACTTTGACTGCTTTGAGAGGGCTTACAGGGAGGCTTGAAGGCGCCTTAAAAAGAGCCTAAGCTGACTCTTTCTTGAGTGGAGGATAATACTGTTGATGGACAAAATCCTGCATGACCTCAAGGACCCTAAACTATGGGAACTATGGCATATTCCTTATAACGGGTAATGCAGGATTTTGTCCATCAACAGTAAGTAGTCTTGCAGGCTGGTGTTTGCTTGTGATCTTAAGCATCCTGAAGCCGAAATGCTGAGCCCTAGCCAGAGATGCACAACTTGGGCTCTAAAGGCGATAACTAGAATTAGAAGAAGGTTTTGGGGCCCACATTACCTAGGATACCCAGTAACCTAAGAATAAAAAGGCCTCTCTTTTTGGTATTCGGTAACTTTATAAGGAGCCTAGGACTACAAAAAGGGAACAAGGGTTCTACTGGGCATCCTAGCACTATAAGTATGATAGGACCACTCCCCTCAACTATTTAGGCCCCGAAAATACGCTAATTAAGTCAGCACAGGGGCCGCTTCGGTATCAGAAAAGGCTTCCTCGGCTGTGATGGCTGCAGCGGTGGCTAATATAGGGGCCTGAATAATTAGAATAGGGTTCTTTTAAAGGGGTCTATCAGGGTTGCTTTCTTTTAATATAGGGGGTTTGGGGCCCATTATACTAAAATTAGAATAAGGAACCCCCACAATAGTATTGGCAATTATTATACGGCCAGAGGAGGGCCTTTCAAGGCTCGTCTATGCGTATGTATGTGTGTAGATCTAGATCTGTTTATATGAACCTAATGTCTGCTTGGTGAAGATTACGACTTGGTAGGCACATCTCAATGTAGGAGTTTGGGGTAATGGTATTGACAAACAAACTTATTCATGATCAGAATAATAACGACAATAGCCAAAATAATCACAGTATACATGATAGTGCCCAAAATGTCTATGGGGATAAATTTGTGGCATTTGGCATCATGAGTTCGAACTTAGAGTTAGCAGCGTAGGACACGTGTGAGGGTACAGGACGCCATATCTGTATATGTACATATATGTATACATGCACCCATACGTGTATACATACATGTGTGTGTGTATAAATATAAATATATATATATATATATATATGTAAATATGGATACACTGCGGGAGGGCTGTAGGTCTCTAGATCTTTAGATGCTCCTGTTTTACAACATTCCTGGCCTGGAGAGAAAGGAACTGCTAGCAACTGCACAGATTGATTTCAGACTATAGAGCTATGGGGTTTAGGGCTTTCAATCAGGAATGGTTGCTAGCTGGAAACTCAAAACCATAGCCGCCACACACCCCGGAATGCCAAACCCTGAACCCCCCATGTCCTGGGTAACTAATACCAAAGGGTAACCGTTGGGAGTATATTGGGATTATGTAAGGATTATAGTACCCGAGAATAGTTAAAGGTTATCTGCTCTACCACTATAGGCTATAATCTAAAATCCCGCCCTGCCGTCAAGTCTTGGTGCCAACACTTGTCGGGACTGTGGCTGCCCCAACCTGGCATGGCCTTGCAGTGGGGTGCCTTTGGTACACCTTGCAGCTCTGTCTGCAACCTGTAGCATATCGAACACCAAACGTGCTTCGGCATGTTGGCGGCCGTATCTTTGCCGTGCGCCAACGCCCCTCGTCCACATACCACACGCTTGAGTAAGGCCAAAGGTCCCCTTGGCAAAGAGCGACAGTTCAAAGATCGTGCTTTCCCAGTCATCGCGAGTCCAGGGACGATGTCCAGGATCGGGATAGACCGGCACAGCGCCTCCAACCTGTCCTGAACCGCCTTGTCCAAGCAGTACTCCTTCTCATTCTCCTTGAAGCTGTCCTGCTGCCTCCGCACCTCCTTGAGCGTGGAGAGCAGCTCAGCACCCACCTCGCCGTCCCACCATGACGGCCACCGATGCTCCCAGTTGGTGCTGCGCGTCACGCGCATGCCCGGCTCCATGGGGAGCCACTCCAACGTCTCCGCGTTGAAGACCTTGCCGTCGAAGTTCAAGTACTTCCGGGTGTCCTCGCCGTCGAGGTCAAGCTCGGCTTCTCGAGAGTAGCTGGCACCCATCCAGCTCTTCTCTCTGCTTCCTGGAGCATTTCCATACACATCATCATTCTGTGCCCGGTGCGTTTGCACCAGAAGCATTCGGGTTCCTTCCAGCACCCTTTCTCCTTGGCGTCCGAAGGGAGCTTGCATGCCCTCTGCGGTGACCAGACCCCATCACCAAAGTTGGAGGGTTCGAGGCACAACTTTTCATCAACCTTTCCAAAGTCTCTTTCTTCTTCATCTTTCCTCCATTACCTTAAAAAATTTACGCCTTAAACAGTAACACACAGAAACGCAAATCCTTGAACCTAAAATTACACCCCAAACCTGATGGAGGCCTCCTATATAGACAAACATTATGAAGCCCTCACGCCCTAAATCCAGAGACTCCCAAAGGTGTTTCTTAGAGATTTTAATAAGCAAAAATTAAAAAACATTTCTAAATACCCCTAAGCTATAACATGCATTAGTGTAGGGGCCTTAAGGACTAGGAAAGGGTTTGGGCGCTCATTATACTAGAATTATAATGAGGCACCCCCACAATAGTATAGGTAACTTTCAAGGCCCCTTTACCTACTGGTCGGGTATCATGGGGAATCAAAGGTTAACCTTTTGGTTCTATAGAGATTATATAGGGGCTATACTACCCAAAAACGGTCAAAGGTTACCTACTGTACTACTAGGTGGGAGTTTCCGAAAAGAGGGGACCCTGATGTAGTACCCCAAATAGTAGGATCCTTATTGTAAGGACCCCCAAATAAGGTGCCCCTAATTTTCGGAAACTCTCAGAGTACGTAATCTGATTCGGAGTCCCTGCCAACCTTTCAGCCAAACAGCTGACCGCCCAAGATCACCACCGGCAAAGTAGCAGACATGGCCTTGAGGTATGATAGGGTTTAGGGTTTTAGGGGTTTAGGGTTTAGGGGTTTAGGGTTTAGGGTCGAGCTTTGGGGTTTACAGTCGGGTTTTGGGGCTTTAAGAGGTTAGTGGTCTGTACAGTGTATAGGGTTTATTTGGGATTGAGTTAGGGTTTAGGGATTCAAGGGTGTGCGGATGGGGTTTTCGCATCAGGGTCCAGCTGGCCCTATAAGCTCTCAGCAAGTCTCAACCAGTCAAACCTGAACCCGGTGTATTCCTAACTCTATTTCTGACCTGCCCTAACGCTTCTGGCGCACCAAGCTTCATGTAAGGGCTAATTCGGCTAATTACCGTTACTGAATCCCTAAACCCTAAACCCTCAACCCTTAAGCCTAAAGCAACCCAAGGCCCTGAACCCTGGCGAAACCTCACATAACTCTCGAGCAGTTGCCCAAAGTTGCCCTTATCGGTACCCGTCAAAGGAGCCCCTTCAGGGAACCCTTACAGGAACCCTGTAAAGGAACCGCCCAACAGTTATAGTATCCTTGTGGGGCGGGGGCTCCAAGGGGGGCAGATAAGCTGATCAGCTGCCAGTCCCGAGCTTCCCTGAGGTTCCCTTAAGGTTCCCTAACAATCCCTTGCACCCTCCCCCCTTGAACCACCCTCCCTTAAGGGGTTCCTTGGAGTCTTAAACCCAAACGGAGGCTAAGTTCCCCCGTACCCTACGGGATCTCTGGAGTCTCTGGTGAAGACTCCCTCTAGAAATAAGCCTAGCACCCCGATTTGAAAAGGTTCAAGCAGAGAGCTGTAGGAGAAAGCAACGCCCTAAGGGTCCAGGTATCTCTTTAGGAGGGTCCGGAATGTTGTAGGGAGAGTCCTTGGGTCTCTTTGGGGTCTCAGAAACCCTCAATTTTGAGGTCCCCCCAATTTGTTAGGACCCTTAGGGTATAATGAACCACCAGAATAGTGTAGGTAACTATTAAGGCCGCTATATTGGCTCTTCGAAGAGGTATGTTGAGGCCCTATATCACAGACACACACCAACAATTCTAAATCCTGAATTGCCGAAATGCCAAAACACCACAGCAACATCTATGCACAAACCCTGAGCACTGACCCAGAGACAGAGGGCTCAAGCCAGATGAAGCATAGCGGGCTGGACTACAATTGAAGGTATAACGCGCAATTGAGGGATCTCTGGAGTCTCTGGTGAAGAATCCCTTTAGAAATAAGCCTAGCACCCCGATTTGAAAAGGCTCAAGCAGAGAGCTCTAGGAGAAAGCAACACCCTAAGGGTCCAGGTATCTCCTTACAAGGGGAGAGTCCTTGGGTCTCTTTGGGGTCTCAGAAACCCTCAGTTTTGAGGTTCCCCAATTTTGTTAGGACCCTTAGGGTAAACCCTAAACCCCTAAACCCTAAGCCCTAAACTAAACCCTAAACTAAACCCTAAACTAGACCCTAAAACTAAACCCTAAACCCCTAAACCCTAAACACTGACCGCACCTCGAAGAGTTCCGGGTTCACTGGGCCATCCAACGTCAGCCAAATATCTTTCTCACCCGGCCTGGGCTGTTCAGACGGTTTCGGGTTTAGGGGTTAGGAGTTAGAGGTTTAGCGGTTCAGGGGTTTAGGGTTTCGGGTTTATGTAAGGCTGCAGGGCTCTACAAGAGTACTATACCACCACTCTTGCTGCAATTACTGCTACTGTGACGGCGACTGCTACAACACAACTACTCTGCTGAACAGCACACCCCTCATTGCGAACAGCAGCTGCGACTCGAACGAGACCACGTAAGAGACGAGATCAACAATCACAAGCAGGCACCGAATGACAGGCTGGCAGGAAATTTTGCCGCCAGAAATGCGGCCGGCAAGCACAAGAGCGCAAAGAATAGGCAAGACACAATCTACTATTGAACTATGGCCTCCCAAGCACAACCACAAATAACCTAAGAACCGTTAACCCTAAACCCTAAACTACCCTAAACCTTGGCCCCAAGAAGAGAAGAAAGCATGGGCTGCCCAAGGAAGCTGAACTTCTGTTACGGAACGTAGGGTTTAGGGTTTAGTCTTTAGGGTTTAGGGCTGGAAACCGGGAACCAACACCATGCAACACGAACCCAACCTGGGGAATCAGGGGACTTAGTAATAAGGGAAGGTTGAGAGCTTAGGGTTTATAAGAGTTTCGGGCTGTGGGTAGCGTAGCTGCAGCTATGTCGACCTACAATCCCAAACTGGGATACTGGTGCACTAACCCCTAGTATCAGCCGGGATCACTGGACACTGCTCGTAGATGATGGGGATGTTTCGGCCCCATTGGTGCTGTGAAGCCTTGTCCGTGAGTCAAACAGCCATAAACTGTTTAGGGTGAGGTTTGGCATACATTAGGGTCTAGGAGGGTGTCATTCATGGTATGAAAATGAACTCCACTCAACCTACTTCGGCTTGTTCTCTATACTATAATGGTAGCCTAGTCTAGTATCTGCCTTCTCTAATGCCGTAAAACGGTGGCCGGCTCGTCTGAAACTTTGGGACCTTCTCAATGCACTGCGATGATCATGGGCTACAGCGTCAAACCAGAGTTCGGGGGATTTGTATCTTCACAGTTTACTGGCACCTGAGCATGTATATATATATATATATGCATACATATGTACACATACTGATACACAATGTGTACATACAAACATATACATATGAGCATGAAGAGTTCAATGCTATTCCTTAGGGTTCCTGACCATGATGTACAAGAACCCCCAACACCATTTCTAAGTACTGGTTCAGGCCCCCTACATTAAATGACCCTAAACCCTAAACCGTGACATTAAGAATACGCCTCCGCAATAGGATACCTTCAGCTCCAAACAAAGAGCTTCGAGGCAGTTGAGGTCATACCTGGATCCGAATATGTGAATGGTTGTCAAAGTTAGGGCTCCCTTTTGGGGCACCCTAAATATTAGGTGCCGTGTTATATTAAGCACCCAAAAAGGGACTCTAATTTTGACAACCCACCATGTAATTTGAGAAAGGTTTCGGGGTATAGAAGCTGTTTACGAATAAGGGGGTTGCTTTCTGACATCAAGGGTGTACTACCCTGGATGCAGATAACCGCAGTAGAACAAGCAGAAAGCGAAAACAGAGAGCCCAATTTCCCCTAAAGCCAACCCAAGCCTTCAGTTCGAAGATATGACGAAAAGAGAAACACGGATAACAACTTGGATCGACAGTTCCCAAGACCTACACTGTCTATAAAACTGCCCCTAAACCCTCAACCCTTAAAGTAAAAGCCAGAAAGTTGGAATATGATTATCCTCAGCCCTTTATGGTATATTACAAGGTATCCTACCCTGAAACCATATTCCAACTTTCTGGAGTTCCCCTTAACCTCCAGACCCGAACCCTCATCCGAGCTGCGTCGAGCGGATCGCCTCGGCCGCGCTGATGGAAACCAAACGTAAAGCCTGGTCCGGGAGTTTCCGAAAACTAGGGTACCTTATTTTGGGGTCCTTATAATAAGGATCCTACTATTTAGGGTACTTTATTAGGGTCCCCTATTTTCGGAAACGCCCTGGTGGGTTTATGGTTCAAGGTTAGCTGGGAAGGGGGCAAAAAGGGTATATAAGGTTAGCCCCCTAAACCGAAAACCCTAAAAGGTTTAAGGCAAGCCCGCTCAGGGTTGATCTTTCTCGGGCTGCTTTACGGGCTTACGGGTTCCATAAGCAACATTTCTACAATTGTCAGGCCTTCCATTGTGTTTCATAAGGGCTCTTTACAGATTACATGGAATGTACTCCGTGTTAAACGGACTTTGTAAGTGTTATGTAGCATGCTCTGGGGTTTTTGAAAGCCTCGAACTGATTTGGTGCTTACCTTGAGATCCGAAAACCTACCGTTTTGAGGGTTCTACCTTCTAAATAAGGGGTCATAAGCTACTATTTTGTAGGGTTTGGGGATACAGGTAGGCTTTTCACAAGTGTTGTGCATGTTGCGTATACGGGGAAGCTTTGATTAGGGTTTTGGTTGATGACCATAGGCGTAGGTCGAAGGAGTAAAAGGTCGGTCATGGAGGTGAGGCTTCAGGGGTTTACCGTATACCCAGAGAGCCCAGTACCCAGCCCCCCGGGAGGATCCAAAAAGTAGATCCCTTAATGGGGGTTCCTATAAAGTACCCTTAGTAGTATAGGGCCCCAAATTAGGGGATCTACTTTCTAGATCCTGCCGGGGGTCTGGGTACCCATCGATGAAGGTCTGTACATCATTTAAATGAGGCATTTCGAAGGGATCAGGGTTCAAGGCGTCAGGTCTAGGTAGGATGACAAGCTTCCAGCGGAAAGGCTCTATTTACCTAGAACATGGGCCTGGACAGGTACAGAAGAAGCCCGGAAAGTGCAATGTCTCAGTCCTTCTGGCGCAACACAACGCAAAGAGAACCTCAACATACGTCTTTGAAGAGCTAATATTGCGCCTTAATCATTACCTAGACTGTTTTGGGGGTTCCTTTTTATAACTATAGTGGAATGGGCCGCAACACCGTATTCCAATCATCGAGGCCCCTTTATTAAATATTAGGGCACTGTCTCAAAATCCAGGCTTCTCCCTCAACGGTCAAAGGACCCAGTAATCAGGTACTTTGTTGATAGTCTCCTTGGGCCATTCCCCCATTCCCTACTATGAACCAGACAGGTAACTTAGAAGGGTTGAATTTTGGTACGTACACGATTGATATATGGGTGATTGATAAAATTATGGTCCCTTTTTGGGGTATCCTACATCTTAGGTGCCGTATTAAATGAAGGACCCACACAGGGACTCTAATTTTGACAACCACCCATACGGCTGATGGTATAAATCCTGCATGACCCATGATAAGGAATTTACTATAATTCCCATAGTTTAGGGTCATTAGGGTAATGCAGGATTTATATCATCAACCGTATGGGTGCTGGGAACCTGCAGGTTTTAGAGTCCAGGCAATGCAACTTTAGAGTTTCGGGTTTTGAGGTTTAGGGGGTTTTGGGGGTTTAGGGTTTAGGGGTTTAGGGTTTTTAGGGGTTAGGGTTTTAGGGTTTAGGGGTTTAGGGTTTTAGGGTTTTAGGGTTTTGGGGTTTAGGGGGTTTTGGGGTTTATAGTGAACCCCGAAAGTTGGAACATGGATTTAAGATGACTAGTGTTGGGACCCCCTATACTTTACCTTTAAGGCCATGGGGATATTGATGTTCCAACTCTCTGGCTTCTTTTTTAGAGTTTCGAGTTTTGGGGTTTAGGGTTTTAGGGGTTTAGGGTTTAGGTGTTTAGGGTTTTTAGGGGTTAGGGGTTTAGGGTTTAGGGGTTTAGGGTTTTAGGGTTTTGGGGTTTGGGGTTTGGGGTTTGGGGTCCATCTTTTCGGGTTTAGGGTTTAGGCTTGCTTGCTTGATTCATTCCGATGAAAAGGAAAGCAGTTTTTTCGGAGAGATCACTGAACGTAAAACCATCACCAGCAAAAGACAAACCAGTAACAAAAACAACCCAGGGTGCTATAGGTTATCCAGTTTTTGCTAAACCCTGAACTATAGAACTTACAGTGATGTCGAGAATTTGTTGTCTGACCAAAAGTCTCAAAGTGAGCCCACAAGTACTCACCTCGATTAAGGGTACTTTCAATATACCTTAAGTCAGGTCAATGCACTCTCTATAACTTGAGGTACAACTTCTTAGAAAAAACAGATCGTTTTTGGCCTATGAGACTCAAGGTAGAACTCAGGTATAGGACTTGGCTGCTGCATTGTGCCTCTCCGGCATCGTGCGCCAGGGTGTTCACGCCTGGGTGGCTGAAAGCATGGGATTTCCCACAGGCTCGAAGACTCCCCTAAACCCTGAACCGCTAAACCCTACTTGGAAGGTCCGGGGACATACTAAGTAGCTATTTTAGAGAGTTATAAGTACCATAACCCCAATTAGGGTCCCTTTAAGGGTACTTATACCTACGTATTATTATCTACTTACTAAGTCCCCCGACCCTCCAAGTAGGGATATCCTTGGGCTTCGGAGTGCGGGGACGATTCAGCAAGGACCTTTCCTTGAATCATCGTAGGGCTGTCGATTACATAAGGAACCATTTGATGAAAGATTTTGCATACAACAGGCTCTTGTAAAGCACACTTAAGGAAGACCACGAAGATCAGACACTTACAAAAAAGGCCCAAATAGAAAGAACAGAGTTTTAGGTTACATTACACAATAATTATAAAAAAGAATTCCCGAAGTAGTATAGGTAATTATCTAGAATCTAGGCCCCTATATTACATGCAGACCCCTGGTGAAACACCCTTCCTTTCACCGAGGGCAGCAGGGCCAAAATGCTAGGATCTCTTGATAAGTTAGAATCTGCCCTAAGGGTCCAGGTATCTCTTTAGGAGGGTCCGGAATGTTGTAGGGAGAGTCCTTGGGTCTCTTTGGGGTCTCAGAAACCCTCAATTTTGAGGTTCCCCAATTTGTTAGGACCCTTAGGATAGGATGCCCGGTAATCTAGGAACAGAAAGGGCTCCCTTTCTAGGATACCCAGTAACCTAAGAAAAAAAAGGCCTCTCTTTTTGGTATTGGGTAACTGTATAAGGAACCTAGGACTACAAAAAGGGAATAAGGGTACTACTGGGCATCCTAGCTTTCTGATGCTGGGTAACTTTATAAGGAACCTAGGACTACAAAAAGGTAATAAGGGTACTAGTGGGCATCCTAGGAATAGGGCTTCGGGGCCCACTATACGGAAATTCTAAGAAGGAGGCCCGAAAACAGTATTGGTAGTTATTTATGCCCCTAATTTATCGCAATTCCTGTTGAGGCAGGGGGCTTTCTTAATCAGGTGTCTACGTTTCGGCAAGTTCAGGGGGCACTGCCTGCTCACGACCATTGGTTAAGGACCAGGAGTTCATACCAAGACGATCCATACACACCACCAGTAGTGGTTTAGGTGCTAAGGGTTTACGGTTAAGTGCTTAGCAGTTTACCCTAAGGGTCCTAACAAATTGGGGAACCTCAAAAGTGAGGATTTTTGAGACCCCAAAGAGACCCAAGGACTCTCCCTAGGACATTCCGGACCCTCCTACAGAGATACCTGCTAACACATTGAGGAACCTCAAAACTGCTTGGAGGGTCGGGGGACTTAGTAAGTAGGTAATAAGCAGAGTTGTAAGTACCCTAAAAGGGACCCTAACTGAGGTTATGGTACTTATAACCCTCCAAAATTACTACTTAGTAAGTGCCCCGACCCTCCAAGTGAGGGTTTCTGAGACCCCAAAGAGACCCAGGGCCTCTCTCTACGAGATTCCGGACCCTTAAGGAGATACCTGGACCCTTAGGGTAAACCTCAAAATCCTAAAACCCTAAACCCGACAACCCAAAACCCTAAACCCCAAACCCTGAACCCTAAACCTCCACACCCTAAACCCTGATTTGCCGAGCAGCGGATGAGTTGGACCCTCGGGAAGAGGAGTTGGCCAAAGTCGTCGGGGAAGTTAGCACCGGCCTCCAGCCTCGGGTTTAGGGATTCCTTTAAAGGTTGTTTCCAGTGGGTTCTATACGGGCTCCTTTAAACAAAGGATTTCCTTAAAACCGCTCTTCTTCAATGACCGGGCGCCCAAAAAACCAAAACTTTCCATCATAGACCGGATTTAGAAGACCAAAAGAGTATAAAGTTCTCCCATGGCTATCTAAGTTCTTGGTTTGGGGCTTTTGTTTGATGGCCCAGGCCGGCTATGGGTTTAAGAAATCCTCTGAGAGTTCCTTCAAGGGTTTAGGGTTAAGGGGTTTATATGATGGTTCCCTAAAGCACTGTCACGGGGTACTTGAGCGCTTGGGCTTGAAGTTTGGGACTTTTTGCACGTTGAGGCATGTGGATTTGTTGGCTCTGCGATTTCCGTTGTGTGCCTGAGGCTTTGCTTTTTGTCGCCAGGATGCTGATCTTACATTGCGGTTGAAGGTGTTGAGTTGGGATTCTTGGCGGTTGCCCTAGTTTCGGTTTAGGGTTTAGAGTGTTTCATTTCATGTCTTACAGTTCCACCACTTTTGCGTGCTTTGGGGCTTCCGGGTTGCGGAGCTTCTGCCTCAAGTACCAAAGGACTTGAGTCAGTAGGTTATATTCGGGATTTCGTTGCATTTAGTTGTTCGGGGGGTCATATCAGTTTATACGGCTCAGGGCTTTTTAAACAAATTGCGGGGTAAAACTTCAACAAGAAGCTATGCTTCGGGCTTAAGCCTAGGTCTGTCCCCTGTTGCTCGCGGTTGCAAAAGCAACCTTGTTGTTCAGGGGTCAAGGTTTAGGCAACTCAACTTAGGATTGAGGGCTTAGGTTTTAGGGATTTCGGGTTTAGGGTCAGATGATTATAACACCCTCCTCCCTTCGTAGGGTGGTTATGCGTCGGTTGAAAATGTGCCGCAACATTCCTGTGATACCAACCGGCGGTGCTCAGTAACTCGACACCACATGTCAGTAAGCTGTTCTCTCACTTTGGCGGTAAGCATTCCCACACATGAACCCAAGCTCGAAATGCGAAAACTTGCCCAAGCGGCAGGGTCGCAATGCAATCCGTTTTCCCTGCGCCAGCTTCGCCGATTACTGCCTGGGTGGCTCTGGGAAGGTTTAGATCTATCAGCGTCAAGGGTCTACTTGGAGGATCATGGGACGTAGTAACTAGGGTTATAGATCAGGTAACTATACTTAGGGCGTACATCCTTAGCAGGACTCTGCCTTAGATGTGACGAAAGATTCCAGTAAGGTTCAAGCTTTGTTTTCTTATGTCAGAAACAAAAGACCACCCTCCAGAATGGAACCGACTGACCTCCAAGTAAAAGCTGAAAACACCCGTGTGCAGGATGGCTCGTAGAGGCTGCTGGCAAACCTCAAATGGGAGGTGGAGGTTCCGAATAACAGGAACAAGAACGAGGGACCCTACTGTAGACCCTAAGCAGTAGGATCCTTGTCATAAAGACACCTAAACCCTGAACGTCCGTACCCCCTAAATCCTGAACCCGTTCTGAACCCCCCGCACCCACCCAAGTGTCGCCGAAAGGCCACATCCCGGTCGTTGATGAGGGCTTGGGTGGTGGCGATGCACTTCTGGACGACCATGGGGTTGTAGAAGTCGAAGCAGAACTTGCGACCTAGAATAGGGGCCTTAATCGTGAATTAGAATAAGGTTTCGTGTATATTAACCATATATACCGTATAGTTATAATCAGGAAACCCCAACGCAGGATAATGGTCGTTGACTCAGGTTCTAATTATGGAGGGTTTAAGGCATTGGGTTGTTTTCGCACAAACTTCCGCCCTACGTACTGGTGTTTAGAGGGTTTAGGGTTTAGGAATTAAAGGGTTCAGGGTGTAGAAGGTAGAATGTTTCGGGCCTAGGGGTGCAAGCAAGACGTCCCGACCACTTGGGGCTTGCTGAGGTTTAGAAGGTTTCTGTAGTTACCCTAGGGGTCCAAGCAACCTAATAATCATATACTCTCCTAAATCTTGAGCTACAGAACTACTATCCTGAACCCAAGAACCTAATTACGGGGTCCTTTGGACCATTAGGGCTAGGGCTTTAGAAGGGTTGCTATAGGTTGCATGCAGAAGGTTCCTAAGGTGCAGAGTTTGCACTATGCCAAGCTGTCTGACTACGCTTCAATAGGTTGCTTTTGTGGATGTTACTAGGTTGGCCCTTGAAAGCCTCTGAAAAATATTCGTAAATTGGGCCCTATTAAGCCCAACAAGGGGAAATATAAAATATCCCAGAGGCCTACCTAGGTTATCATTTTGGCCCACTTAATAAACAATCTTTTTGGGGTTCTAGGCTTCGGATTTTGGGGATGGCAGTCCACGTACCCTAGATTATGCATAGTACTGCTGATGGACAAACTCCTGCATTACTCATTACTCATTATAAGGAATATACCATACTTCCCATAGTTTAGAGTCCTTAGGGTCATGCAGGATTTTGTCCATCAACAGTATGAACCAGGGTAGGTCCTAGAGAGGGGAGTTGGGAGGTCTTCGTTGGACTTATTTAGAGGACCTTGCACAGATAGAAGTTGGAGTAACCCCAACTAGGATTCTTCGATTGAATTCTAGTTAATCTAAGCTACGCACCAAGTACTCTGATGCTTCAGCTAAACGGTTGGATGCAGCATTGAAGGCCCCATGTTTTCAGAAACTACCATGTCGAGCTACAAAAGGAAGGTTAAAGGATTGAGGGCGAAGGAAATTTAGGGCTATAGGGCGGTCACAGAGGTCTAGCGCACAATGCATGCCCCACAATTTGCTTGACTAGTCTTTGGGTTGTGAGTATGCCGTTTATAACGTTCCTAGCCTTTGCAAGTCTGGGAGACGGGGTATACAAGATCCTGAACGCGTTAGGGGACTGCATGGACTAGGATTCAAGGTCTTGAGTCTTGGTCGGATTGATGGGCTGCTGAAATTGACAACCTATAATTTAAAGCCCCAAAACCCCTTCGTTCCTGGACCGTGTTCCACTCTGATCGAAACCTTAAACGTGAGGACCCCTAAAACCCTAAACCCCTCAGCTCCTGGACGCTGTCCTACGGATCTACGGTATCTCCCTGCTCCGGCAAAGCCCACCGGGTCTCAGTGGGATCTCAGCAACACGAGGTCTTAAAAGACGTGGGATCCCCGCTTGCAGGATGAGGGTAACTTTCTTAGGGTGATGTGGGAGCATCCGAAAATTAGGGGTACCTCATTTCACCTTATAATCTTATAATAAGGGTCCTGCTATTTAGGGTACTATATTGGGGTCCCTCTTTTCGGAAACCACCATCTCTGTAACTTAAGGCTGCTAATGCTCAGTGCAGCTGTGCAGCGCAAGGTGTCTACGATCTGGATGTAGAAGCGGGTGGACAGATCTTTCCGTGCCACGCGCTGTGCCATCAGCGTGTCCTCAGTCACGCTCTTTCGTAGCAAACACTTCCGTAAGGCCGTGTATCTTTCGATATAAAGTTCTCCTTAGGTTTATCGCCGCCCTTCAAGCCCAAAGGCTCCATGTACCTTTATAGTAGTTACTTAAGCCTTAAAGGGGTCCCTATATAGGCACTTTAAGGCCTAAGTATATACTATATGGGTACATGGAGCCTAAGGCCTAAGGGAAGATGTTTGAAGACTTTATGGGCCTTTGAGGCGTAAAGCCCTGCAACGCCTCGCCTGTACTCTGAGATGTCGTTCGGGCTTAGTGCTTTTTTGATGGGAGGCCAAAAGGAGCGTGTAAGATTCTTGGGGTAGGGATTCCTTAGTATGAACCCTATTATGGGAACCCTAATCCCGACTAAACCCCCCATAGGCTAAAACCCCTTTCGGCCTCGTATGATTTCTCAGCTTCAGCTTCGATAGGAGCACGCGCCCTCGACTCATAGGGATTGGGACCCTTAGGGCGGTAAGGGGGAGGGGGGAGGGGGGGAGGGAACTATACTTCCTCAAATCCTTGTTAAGTCCTGATTATAGATATCTAAACCCTAAACCCCGAACCCTGAACCCTGAACCCTAAACCCTGAACCCTAAACCCTAAACCCCATTAAGGTCCGTATGATAGAATAACAAGATCGTTCTGAGTGTCATCAAGCCATCCTGCGGCCGCGGTCTAGTTGGAGGGTCGGGGGAGTTACTAAGTAGCTATGTTATAGGCTTATAATTACCATAACCCCAAAAAGGATCCTTCGTAGATTCTGGGGTACTTATAGCTCTGCTTGGTACCTACCTACTTACTAAGTCCCCGGACCCTTGCTTGGGGTGTGTGCTGGGGTGGTTTGGTGCAGAAGCCCCTCAGCCTCTGAAGCCAAAAAGGATCGTCGATCCTAAACGTGGACCTCAAAGTTGCGTTGCCCCCCCCCCTCCTCAAGCAAATCTGATACCTGAAGGTCCAATCGCCCTCAGAACACACCTGACTTTGGCTGGGCACGGGCACACTTGTTCGCGTTCCCGAGAGTCAAAAAATCTTCAACTGATCATGCGCAGCAGCAAATGCGCCGCAAGAGGCTTGGATCTGCTACACATTCTTCAGCTTATCCTGCACAGCTCTACTGTCTCCGCCATCGCGAGCATCACCCCAGGTCACGACGGATCCATCGTCAAGAATGGCTGCAAAAGCAGCGCGAGAGGCTTGGATCTGCTGCACATTCTTCAACTGATCCTTCACAACACTACTGTCACCACCGCTGTGAGCATCACCCCAGGTCACGACGGATCCACGGTCAAGAACGGCTGCAAAAGCACTCTGAGAGGCTTGGATCTGCTGCACATTCTTCAGCTGTTTCTGCACAGCTGCACTGTCGCCACCATAGCTAGCAACACCCCAGGTCACGACCGATCCGTCACCCAGAATGGCAGCAAAAGCGCGGACAGAGGCTTGGATCTGCTGCACATTCTTCAACTTATCCTGCACAGCACTACTGTCACCGCCACTGAGAGCCCAACCCCAGGCCACGACGGATCCATCACCAAGAACGGCCGCAAAAGCATAGTCAGAGGCTCGGATCTGCTGCACATTCTTCAGCTGATCCTGCACGGTACTACTGTCACCGCCATTGTAAGCATCTCCCCAAGTCACGACGGATCCATCGTCAAGAACGGCTGCAAAAGCACTCTGAGAGGCTTGGATCTGCTGCACATGCTTCAGCAAATCCTTCACAGCACTACTGTCACCGCCGTGGCAAGCAGAACCCCAGGTCACGACCGATCCGTCACCCAGAATGGCAGCAAAAGCGCGCAAAGAGGCTTGGATCTGCTGCACATTCTTCAGCTTATCCTAGCTCTACTGCCTCCGCCATCGCGAGCATCACCCCAGGTCACGACGGATCCATCGTCAAGAACGGCTGCAAAGGCATTCTGAGAGGCTTGGATCTGCTGTACATTCTTCAGCTGTTTCTGCACAGCTGCGCTGTCGCCACCATAGCTAGCATCACCCCAGGTCACAACCGATCCGTCACCAAGAATGGCAGCAAAAGCGCTTCTTGCGGCTTGGATCTGCTGCACATTCTTCAGCTGATCCTGCACAGCTTTACTGTCTCCGCCATCGCTAGCATCACCCCAGGTCACAACCGATCCGTCACCAAGAATGGCAGCAAACGCGCTCCCAAGCGTTTTTGTGGCTTGGATCTGCTGCACATTCTTCAACTGGTCCTGCACAGAACTACTGTCACCGCCACGGTGAGCAGCACCCCAGGTCACGATCGATCCGTCGCCAAGAATGGCTGCAAATGCGCGGCCAGTTGCTTCAACTTGAACTCTTTTCATGTGCAAGGTCAGTGGGCAACGGTCCTGCAGCCTGGCACGCTTGATCGACTCACGTGCATCTAGAATGGTTCCGGAAGCATCCAGCAGGCGCCCTCTTCCGACTCCAAGTGCGATCTGTGCCCGACGTTTGAGTGTCCCGAATCCTTCATCCAAGCTGGCTTCCACGGTGGCTGCTTTGCCGCTGAGCAGCCCAACTTCGACATTAATCGACATGAGAAGAAGGTATCTCCAGTTCTGACCTGTCGGGAGCCTAATCAAGACATGATGCACTACTTAAACCCAAAGCCCTATTACATGCAAACACAGGTCAGAGGCTCGGCACTGACAAAATCCCGCGATGACCGTCGATGATATCATGCAGCTAGGAACGCTACAACTGAACTGAAAATCCTCAACCCTCAACTGAAGCGTGAGGGCTTCGGCACGCGGTTGTGTGGGATGCGGGAAGGTTTCGGGTCCAAGAATCTGGGAGTTGGGGCTTGAAGCTGTTGGCGTAGAACTCACTTGGAGGGTCGGGGGACTTACTAAGTAGTAATTTTGGAGAGTCATAAGTACCATAACCCCAATTAGGGTCCCTTTTAGGGTACTTACAACTCTGCTTATTACCTACTTACTAAGTCCCCCGACCCTCCAAGCATGGAGAATTAGGGTTCGGCGCGTCAAGCTTCAAGCTTCGGGTTTAGGGTTAAGACGGGCTTAGGGTTATTGATTGCTTGTGGCTCTGAAGGCTTCTTCATCGAGAGTTTCAGAGAAATTCCGAACCTCTTGATTTGGAAATATGCTGTGAAGCTTAGCAGGACAGACTAAACTTTTGATAGCAGGTCCAAGTACCCAAATAGTAGTGC